AAATGTTTGACCCTTTTTAAATGCTTAGCCGCTCGTAATTGGTTCGGGCTATCGCTGTGCGCCCTTATGGGGTGACTAATGCATCAAATGAGCACATGCATGCAAAGTTAGAACGATATCCGTTCGCCGGTTCTTGAAATACAGGCGATTCAGAGCGTGCCAGCAGCGAGGGAGTTCGGCCAGGACTGTATTAGTCCAAATCCAGCGTTGTGCACGACCAAGATAACTGCATCAATCTTTTCTGCTTGACGCTCTGATGAGGTGCTCGAAGCGCACGCCGCGTCGTTCTGCGAACAGGCACGTGACTTTCGTCGAAACCCAAGCTAACAAATAGGAAAAGGTTCTATTTTTTTTTTTTTGAGAGAGAGTGTATTAACTAAAAAAAATGATTCATGGATTCGCGTTTGCTAATGTCAATGGCCAGGGAATAAACCGAACTTTATTGCCATTATTATTAACTTTTTTGCGAAACTACCGTTATGGGGATTAGCACTAGGGATAATCTTTTTCGGGCATTTTTCGGCTTCATGCAAGTCAAATTGTTGTGTGCTGAATTCCCTCCCCCTGCATGCAAAATACTACATATATATCCTGAGTTGCCAAAATCGCTCTGGCCGACTCGGATGCAGCGAATGCTCATTGGGAGGTTTTCGAGGACAGAAGCGGCGAGTGACGGAAGGCGCAAGGAGCCGTTTCAAACCGGTCGCTTCGTCTGTCCGAGGCAAGCAACGAAATTGGGAAAATATCATTTGCTACTGTCGCGGGCGGGAACTGCTAAGAGACGAATTCACGGACCAGGTGTCGAATGTCGCCTCAACTCCCAGGCAGAAGCGACGACAGAGAAACACGTACCAAGATCTGGACGAGGGCGTATCTTCCTTTGAAGCCGGGGGAGACACGACACACGGAAAACGCGAACCGAGTGGAGACGATACAAGCAATGAAGGAATCTCCGGAAAAGGGAACAGAGAAGGAGAGACGGGGAGAGACGGGGAGAGACGGGGAGAGACCCTTCGTCCTTCAACTGGTTTAGCCTTGGGGTCGGCTTCGCTTCTTCTTTCTTCACGTAACAATGAGGCAGGGAAAGGAAGCGCCTTCCCGTCTAGACATTCTCTAAAATTGAACTTTTTTTTCAAAAGACTCCATTACTTATTACCTTTCCTATTACTTATTACCTATTTCCTATTGCCTGGTCCTATTCCTTTCTGAGAGACAGTTCGTGGACCGTTCGTTCGTTTAAAATGATGCTAAATCTAATTAACATGTCCTGCTTGCGAATTGGCCGGCCAATCGTTCGCCAATGTTGCCGAGAAGGTTCCGGAAACCGGCGTGCGACGGAGCCAAATTGGTCGGAGTAGGAAATCACTTCCCGGTTTCAACCGAAATGGGTTCCCTGTGTCCCTTTGACTTTTCCTGCGGTTTCTCGCGTGGATCTCGGAGGAAAGATGATCGAATTCCTTGAAACGTTTCTCCCAGCCCTGGAGTAAGCCGGGAAATTCGGTTTTTCGATTTTTTTCACGATAAGATACGCGACCTTTCCGCTCAAATAAACGAAAAATCTTGTTGCGTGGATGGGGAGGATGGATGCCCTCGCATTCCCATGGTCCTGGATGCCCTCGCATTCCCATGCTCCTGGATGCTTTAGCATTCCCATGCTCCTGGATGCCCTCGCATTCCCATGCTCCTGGATGCTTTAGCATTAAAATTGATTGGGATAATTCTCGGCGATAGGAGTGTACCCGTGTAAGGTACTCTGGTAAGGTACTTGCTCCTTCGTCTCTCCCAGATGAAGGAGCAGTAGGGGGCCAAAGGAGGCATTCTTATTTCTCCAAGATGCATAATGCTGTAGATGCAGTTAGTCGGTTTTTTTTTTTTCAATATATTTTCCCCATTGTGAAAAATCGGCTTTTGGTTGGGGCAACGAGCCAAAGTTGGCCCGATGAAGGGCCAACAGGACATGCCCGACCAAAAGTCGGCTTAGACCAACCGTAAGCCAACCATGTGTCAGTGCTGGCCCAACTCCCACTGGCCCGATGAAACATTCTTACAAATCTTATTTACTTATAAGTACCGCACCAAGTACTAACTAGTACTTGATCTCAGTATCTCAAAAACGGCAAGATCGATTCTAAAATCCCAAGGTTATGCCAGGGAGAATGTCGCTGCCGTTACATATTTGCAAGCGGATGTTAAAAAATTTGGCGCGTTTTCACGATATTTGAGCCAAAAGTTGGCGCCATAGAGGTCCTTTATAATGGTTTGCTTGCGCCTCCAAAAAATAGATGGCAGACCTGTCCGGGAGAAAGAGTAATATCGAATTTTTACTCTTAAAAAATTTTTTTTCTAAACAAATAAAAAATTACTACCGTCATTGAAGGATCTTGTTTTAGGTAATGACATCATCGCCCTCGGGGCCTGCCTTTCATCCTGCCCTCTCGGCGTGGAATTCTTTGCATTTCTCCGACCGTATTGTACTGCATCGTCTGACCTTCACGCAGGAGGAAGTTGGGGTTTCCAATTCATCAATTAATTTACGAGAGAAAAGATGACGTACCTGTGAAATGAATTATTGGTTTGTACAAGAAAGGAAAGATGCTGGAAGATCTCTTCATGTCATAGTGGTTTAGGTGATAAAATTAAGGGGGTTCATTCTCGGACTTGGGAAGGAAAATTATAAATTGATGCTAATTGGTAGCAATCAGCCGCCTGGCCTATGTCAACGGAAAGAAGAAAACGGCTTGGTCGCTATGCCTAGGTTCCATCCAATATGTAGGATCCAAATACATTTAATTAGATTTATTGAGTCTGAATTCTGAATTGATTTAGAACGCTACCACTGTTCTCAGGCAAACGATATCTACAAGGGTATGGTTCTTCTCGGATTGGAAGGGAAAGGCGGGATGGGCCTTGGCCTCATGCTCCACCCCCTCGTCCTCGCCCTTGACCTCATGCTCCACCCCCTCGTCCTCGCCCTTGACCTCATGCTCCACCCCCTCGTCCTCGCCCTTCACCTCATGCTTCACCCCCTCGTCCTCGCCCTTGGCCCGAGAATCTGAGGGGCGGGGAGACACTAAACGACATCTATGAAACGCTTCGTCCCTAGCTCTTTTTTGAGGGAGGGTATTGCGCCGCCTTAAGGGTGTGCATGGCCACCCTCTTTTTTCAAGATAACATCAATTTCTTGATAGGCGACATACGCCCTTCGGGATCGCCCCAGGTAAAAAAAAAATAAAAATTCCCTCGGGATTTCCATTAGTGGTCACTCTCCATCCTCACCCTTCGGAGATTCATTCCCACTTTTCACGAGTGACGAAATCTGTTCCACTGTTGAGAATGCATTCAGTACTAAGTCATTCAGTACTACTGATCGACTATAAGAGTCAGTTGATGTGAAGCTGCTAAGTTCCCGATGTAGCTGGGTACTGTGCCGGACGAAAGTTATAAAACGACATATTCGCATATACTGTATATTAATATTTCTCATTTGTGTACCGACATCTATATTTAGGGTCCCTCTATCGGTGTTTTCCTTCTCTTATCGAATCCTCCAGTGTACCCAGCAGAACAGTGTACCCACCAACCGCTGGGTACACTGTTCGCCTTCTCTCTTTACCTTCTCAGTGGGAAACCACTGGCGGACTTTTTGGTTTTGAAGCCGGAATCCCTCTTCTTCCTTCCTTAGGTCTTCCTTGACAGACGTCTCCCTGGGATGATTTTCGTCTTTAGATAATAATATCGTGGGATTGCAATGTATTACGCTTTGCTGCAAGCAGGAAAAAAAAAATCCGGTGCACTATGTAAGAAATCCCAGAGGCGTACCTTAGTTTCTTTACGGGGTTGGCGATTGGGGTGCCATCTTACATCGGTAATGGTAACTTTACCTATCCAAGAATATCCAGTTGCTTCTCCTAATGAAAGCGAAAAGGCAGTAGGGTGACATCCTTATCGGATTACTGAATAGGCAAGCAATGCATGGGCCTCGGAACCAAGCCACTGGATATGATGCAAAACCAGACAAGGAGACGACAAGATTTCATCTTCGGTTACCCCCCTCCCCCCCCCCCCTCCCCCCCCCCCCCCCCCTTCGCAAGAATGGGTCAAGGGTGGTGGGTGTTATGCCTGGGGGATCCTGAAACTTTAATCCGACCCTGTTTTTGTAGTTCAGTCGGAGAACTCCCTGGGGTGAGGATTAGCCCGAGGGGATCATCCCTCCGGCAGAATGTCTCCAGACTTCCAGTTGAAAGGACTAAGGCAAACCCCGACGGTGCTAAAATGCACCCACCTGATAGGAAGGAAAGCCTGCACACCCTTAAGAGTGCTATGCGAGCCTCCTAGGGAGGGAATGAACGCGCGGAGGTGAGAATGCGCCTCCAAAATGCATGCACATCCATTTTTCAACCATTGCGCAACCTACACTCACAATTATTATTATTATTATTATTATATTTGCTGTGTGGTCTTGCAAGCAAGGCGACTCACGACGTCGAACCACCAGGAGCCGTTCGTGGAGTCACGTGACTTAAAAAAAGATGAGTGCGTGAAAAACATTAGGTGCATGGCATGTTTTCCTCGGGATGTTCTTGCCCTGAATGACATGAAATTGGAAGAAAATGAAAAAATGAGCAGAAACCATATGATTCCATCCATAAGCTGAATGGAGGAACGGAGCTGATGTATCTGCATTACGTTATTTTGCATTATGTTATTCCTCATTATGTATTTGCATTAGCCCCACGTCATCATCCATCAGAGTAATTTCCCCATAAAATTTCTGGATGAAAGCGAAAGATAAGAATGATTTCTCACTCTTCTAACTCCCTTATCGCAACCGTAGAGATATAGGTGAGTGCATTCAGAAGAGTCAAAACACGACGAAAGCTGATGTCTGGCATCGACAAGGATTCGAGGCCTCGTAGAAGAAAAAAAAACGGAATCGAACCCCCGGAAACTCCGTGATGGAGAACGGGGCAGTGCGAGGTGATTTTTCGCATGTGGATTTCACCCCCGAACGCCTGAAAGGCGGCGGCTTCCTCTCCATGCCCAGATACGAATCCCTCAGGTGAGTCCGAATCGGAAGGCAAGCGAATCTAAGGCCGATTTCAAGACTGCAGTTTGGTCGCAGTTCCGGTTGGGATTTCTCTGCGATACTGTAGAAGTCGACAAGAGCAAAAGTGGAACTGAAGCCGAACTGCCGTTTTGAAATCAGCCCAACCCTGTCCGACTCCCCGCATCCCCACCATCCGACTTCCCGCATCCTCACCATCTGACTTCCCGCATCCTCACCATCTGACTACCCTGCATCCTCACCATCTGACTACCCCGCATCCCCAAGCGCCCTGATAGAAAGAGCGAACGACTGGCTCGCGAGGAACCCCGACTGCGAGGCAGCGACGTGCGAGGGCGTGGAGTGCGCGACGACGACGGGCCACGTCGAGACCGAGACGATGACCGTCTTCGGAGGTCGAACGCCCGCTGCTTACATCAGGTAGGAGAGAGGAGAATATTCCCGTGGAGGACGATGTCCATTTGGGAGGATCGGCTTACTTTCACAATTTAAATATTTTGCTGTTTGTGCCTTAAAAGGCTGTTTCGCAAATGGAGGGGCCACAGAGATGAGGCTCGGCGCTAATTAGCGCCACTTCATTGAAAGGATATTATGAACAGAGACAAAATATAATCAGCCGAAACGAACGAACTTGAGTCAAAACTAATCTAAACTAACAAGAGACTTCGTAACTCCATCTCAGTGCGTCATATCAGGTTCAGATATTGAGCTTTATTTATCCGGAAGTCCGGGGGCAGGATTATTAACTGACTAAGGATTATTAACACCTCGGCTAAGCTCGGCTAAGCCCAGGAAGTTAAAATGTGGCCCCTTCAGTTGCGATACGGCCATTTGGTTGAGATATTTGGGAAATACATTTTTAAAAAAACCGCTAGCTTTAATTTTTTTAATTTTAAACGCAGGAGGCCACTGGGTCACAGCGTTTCTCTGCTTTGCTACATTTGCCTGGAAGCATTCCGAGAGATGCTGCAATCTCTCAAAACAAGAATAAATTAGTTTGCAGAAAACGCGTGACCCGTGGTTTCCGCGAATTTTTTTCGGCACAACACAATCGACACTTTTTGTGCACTTCCGATGCACGAAAGTACTCCTGGGGCGTTTTCTCGCCCTGCTAACTCAACCTGAATCTAAAATTCCTCACGTCAATGCTGAATTACCGCTTAAGATCAAGTTTAGATTCAGATTGAGTGAAGATTAGGAACAGGCACCTAGTCGAATTTGCTCGGGAAAAAAATATTCTGTCTCCTATTCGACTCGTTCTGTCTCCTATTCGACCCGTTCCGTCTCCTATTCGACCCGTTCTGTCTCCCATTCGGCCCGCTCGCAGGTGTCTGAGACTGTGGCTGCGGCGGCGGAACGACCCGCGCGAACCCCCTCAGCAACTGGGCCACGCGAATTTCGTCCCCGACGTCGTGGACGGGACCTCGTTGAGGAGTCCCAAGTTCCAGCCGATCAGCAGCATGGTCGAGAAGACGAACGGGATGCTGCGGAAGAACCCGCTCCCGGGGAAGATCATCACCATCGAAACCCAGGCACGTTCCTAATTATTTTCTCTTTTGTTCGAGAAAATGACCGAGGTCACGATATGCATATATCATTTAAATACAATTACGTCTCCTAACAAGAGAGGACTCGAGGGCAACAGGGCATTAAGTGCGGAGAATGCAGATGAGAGCCTTCAACAACAAAAATGGATTGAATCCCCCCGTTCACGCTCGAATCTGTCGGCACGAAGAGCCAAAGATTCTTGATCCCCTGGTAGCACAACCCTGAAAAGGCTATTCGTCTCTGGGTTGTGTCATAAAAACCTTTTTTTCTCTCTTCAAGCTGGATTATATAGTTACTGAAAAAAATACACAATTCCGAGAAAAGCCCCAGCGAGAAGGGGAACGAGACAGGGCCATAGAGATTTGTTTGGGACGAGAGCAAAGAAGGGCCAGACAGCCTTGGTTCAAGGTGGTTTAGTGGTATCAACAGGCGATAACACACATTTTTTTACCACGTGTCGAGGTCGAGCGTTCCTTTATTTTAGGGTATGCTTACTCCTCTTACAGCTAAATATGTTTGTATTTTTGGGGATTTTTTTAAAAGGCATATGTAAGTTGCTTACTGTCTAGTCGCTTAACTCTTTCACGCATAAACATTTCCAGAAGAAAAAAAATCCCTTGTTGCATGTGCCAGAAAAAAAAAACCAATAATATACGTATGCTTGAGTAATACCAGGTGATTCTGGAAATAAACCACCATGCTTCACTACATAAAAAAATGGTGGTACAATTTCTGTACCACCAACCATAAAATAGTTAAGTCAACATTGCCCCCCATTCTCGCTTGTCCATAAAAGCATCTAGTTTCTTCCAGCCACTTCGTCGTCTAACGCATTCCACGCGTTCACCACTCTACAAACGAAGAAGTCCTGTCTCGACCTGAGCCGCACCTGCGGTTTGCGCAATTCGAGTCGAAGTCCTCTCGTTCTCTTGCCGTCATCGAACTGGAAGAACCTACCGCACTCGACATTATCTATTCCTTTGGTTATCTACAGTCCCAGCACTTCTAAACGCTTCCCAAGTAACACAAGATGTTCCAGCAACGTTTAGGAAATGTTGATGTTGAATGCTGCATCCATGTGTAAATGTCCAAAACGTCAACGTTGCTCAAATGTTGGGAAGGTTTTTTCAAGGGCTTTTCCTTTCTACACCCCCCCCCCCCCCCCCCCCCCCCCCCCCTCCTTCTCTACAGGCCCAAGTTAGGCCTAGGCATAAAGAAACTCAATCCTCTATTGACTGGGCCAAATAGGCAATATGGAATAATCCCTGGTCTTTGAGATCTCGTCGAGGACGTGTAACGTTAGGCCAAACGCAGGCCGATTCACTCTCTCGTGGCCCTTTTAAGAGAGTATGTGTAACGTTAGACCGATTAGAGATCTATTTCGAGTTTCATGAACTATTTCAGTGCGGATGAGGAACGTTAGACCTATCTAGAGTTGCTCGAGCCGTCTCGACCATTAAGAGAGAGGACTGGAGTCGCACGAGGAAGTTGGTAGCAGGGCCATCCATTGAGAAGGAAGGGCAAAAGAGGCAACCTGCCCCGAGCCCCATGCTCGGAGGCCCCTCATGCCGGCACACACCCCCAACATGCTATTCATTCCCTCCTGCATGGCGGGAGGCACTTGCACCTCTTGAAGCAGCGAAGACCTCCCCAGAGACATCTATATACTCTCTTTGGTCTCGATGAGTTCTGAGAAGAAAATTCCTCTAGGAAGAATGGAATACAACGTGGGCGCCATTCTGTTGATTTACGGATGTCCGAATGGGATATCTCCCACCAAATCGATCGGCCACTGCTAGCCATCATTTCAATCTCAGCTCACCTAATGAACTCGACTTAAAACTACCTCAATTAAAAAAGAGAAGATCCAGACACCGATACTAAGGCCAAAAAGGTCATGAATCTGGCATATTTCTTTTTTTTTTTAATGGCGAAATGGTGCGCTGGAAGTAGTAAATTGGGCACTTTTCGTCACCTACAAGTCAATATCTTTCGTTTGGTAGGTCTCTTTCCTCCGAAAACTTCCCAGGAGTGGCTACGCAAGGGGGGAGAAAAAAAAATACTGAAACGAAATTCACATCTCCGAAAAGCCAGATTCAGTGATCTCCACATCCACATGGAGCTTCAAATTTGCTAGAGAGATTCTGTGTTGAGAGAGGAGGAAGTATGCCGAATTTCGTTGATGCTCTCTGAGAGGAATACGAGACGGTTGAATTTTGTCGCCGGAAGGGATTGAAGAAAGGTAATGAGCGCTACCAAAGCCTATTGATAAGGATTTTTTTTTTTCTTCCTGAAGCTAAACCTAAAGTATGTCACCTGAGGACTAATAAATTCAGAAAGATGCAGAATGACGAGAAATTGATTTAATTCAATTCAAATTTGAAATAAAAAGCTTCAATCACTCACACGTGTTGCCCTTGAATTTGGTACCGATTTAAAATAATTCTAAACGATTACTAGGAAAAGGAAAAGCAGCTTCGCCTGTTCCATTCGACGAGATCGAGGGAAAATAAATTATAAATAAATTATTTAAATCCGTCATCAAATAATTCTTCGAAACAGGAGATGAAGCTGGGGACTTACACGGGCGAGCTGGATCCAGATCAATCCTTCCGGGTCGAGGGGGCGGTCGAGAAAAAGCACTTTGTGTTCGTCATTCGGATCTTCTACGAGGCGGGGATCGGGAAAGGGGAAGAGATCGGGCTCGTCGATTTCGGTCCCTTGTGCGAAGGAAGCGGCGATGTTTCCAGGTACTGAAAACGTCGGTGCGATGTCGGTTCGCGGTGGGAATCCATGCGGTTCGATTGAATGCTCCAGGCTTCCTAAGGGCGAGAAATTCAGCAGCCTAGTCGGGAGGATGTCGGCCTGGTACCAGGGTCAGAGCAGCGTCCGGATCACCAACGTTCAGAGCCTGGAATACGAACTCGAGTCGGGCGAAGTGGACACTCGGAGGACTTTCTACGCGGGGCGTGGGGATGTCACGACTCAGTGCGTGCGCATGCTCCGCGTGGCGTACGTCGGGGCGGCGGAGGCTCCTCTCGTCCCCCGCGCCGTCGCATGTCGGACCTTCGTTCCGGTTCAGCTCGATCGAGGTAATGGGCGGCGGTGATTAATAACTCTGAAGAGATTCGTTGCTTTCTTCGATGTCGAGAAATTGCAAAGGATCTCAGTTGCTACTCGTTATCCATCAGCATTTTCTCGAGTTGAAAACATTTTGCAGCCAAAAGAATTGCCTTTTGGGATCAGTTACGTTAGATTGTGACGCTACCAAAACTGAGTAACGCTTACAAATTACGCCAGAAGCTTACGAATACGTGATTGGCTCTCTTGTTTTCTTTGCAGGCGGCTGCTATCGATCGCTGGAATACGAGGGCATGTCCAAGACGCGGGAGCGAATCGCGGCGTGGATGAGGGTCACCGGGGCCAAGCTGATCAGCGCCGAGACCTCGGTCATGCGGATGCACTCTGGTCTGTCGCAGTCGCTGCTTCCTGCTCGTATTTTCTTCAGTCTCCCGCTCCTTGTCGGGGGGGGGGGGGGGGGGGGGGGGGGGCGCGGGGGGGGGGGNGGGGGGGGGGGGGGGGGGGGGGGGGGGGGGGGGGGGAAAGGACGCGGATTTGAGTGGTGAAATCTGTGGTAGATATAATGCAACAGCAGCCACAATATTTGCCTGTTTTAGAAGGGTTCATTATTTAAGCTAAATGCACTAGTTTTTTTTTTGGCAAGGTTGAAAGTTCCAAAAATTCTCTGAGAGATTGCAAAGTCGGCAGCGAGTTTTTGCACTTCTGACCCTTGAAATTGGAAGGAAAATTCTTCCTTTTTCTGATTTCCCCTCTCTTCCTTGTTCCAGACTAAACGCCTGAAGAAAAAAAAAATTTGCATTATTTTTTTTTTTCAGACAGTAATTATCCCATTATATGAATCCCAGCTTGTACACGAGGGAATGCTGCTATCTTCTTAAATGACCGATACGAACAGTCCCGGTCGGAACGGTTTCTTTCCATTCCGAGAATCATCTTGGTGATTTATTGCGTGGCGTACGCTCATACATTCTCGGCCGAAACCTGCCAGTCGATTTTTCCCCGAAGAGAGAGGGAAAACCTGGGAGACGACTGTGCTAATGCTGAAAGAAATGGTTCTGACCTTCGTTCCGGATTCATACGGGAAACTGTGGTTGCGGGGCCATGGCGATAGAGGAGCAAGAATTAGGCTTACACTGAGAAAGTGCTTTTCTTTCTTTATATGCAGTATTTCTTCATAAGGCTTTAAATGCGTGCAGCGAAAAGGAGGAGACAAAATAGAACAAGGCAATGAACAGATTTCCTTATTTCCCGTCTGGATGCCTCCAGGGAGACTGCGGGTCCTCCGCTCATCAAGGGTCAGGCCAAGGTTACCAAAGGGTCAGGCAAAGGTTACCAAAGGGTCAGGCAAAGGTTACCAAAGGGTCAGGCCAAGGTTACCATGTTTGGTAAACTGGAGCTCCAGCGGCTCGTTGCTGCCCTTGCTTTCCTTTATTTTCATCAGGGACGCGTCTAGAGGGGTTTTAGGGCTGTGAAAATCCTAGACGCGTCACTGATATTTATCCATCGTTAAGGGTTCCAACATGGCCTTCCAGGGGAATGTCGAGGAAGCGACATGGAATCTCCTTATCGTATGGGAAATGTGATCCTCGAGCGAGAATTCAGACCCTGAAGATGGAAAAATGGACATTGCAGGTGGCGAGAGAGAAAAAATGGGTCCCGAGGCGACTCACGCCTCCGACTCGGGGCGTGAAGCGGTCCGTTTCACGCCCCGAGTTTCACGCCAGGGCGTCGTCGAACACTGGATCTACGTAATCCGGCTCTATCTCGACGGGGATTACCAGGAGCCTGATCCGGGGCTTCTGCCGCCTGTTCCGCCGATTCGAGATGACTCTTGCTGCGGAATCCTCTGAATTTTTATTATTATTTTTATTATTGGCGATTGATTCCCTCCATTCGAGCGCTCAGAATATGAACAAGGCCGTTTTGTTATTTCTCATCAGTTACGAGTCAGATGATTCATTGGGTTCCAGGCTGGGGTGGAAGGTTTCCCTGAAAATATGAACTCAAAAATGAATGTTTGTCAAATAAATGGAAGCTCACCCGGATTTATCCAAATTCAAGACGACTCCTAAAACGTAATCATAAAAAAAATCAGAATTCCCGCTAAGCTCCGAGAGTTTAAGTTTCTCTGCGAGGAGATTAGAATCCATCACTTTCCTCTTGAGAGCAGGCGGGCGATAAAATCGCTTCTGGCTTCGCTCCGAGATGTCGGACGAACCGGAACGGCAGAGGCCGCTTTTGCGTCTCGGAGGAAACTCGACTTGTCTCGACCCGCGATTTGCAAACATCTCGGACCTTTGATGATGAGCAGCGTGACACGTGATGATGAGCAGCGTGACACGTGACACTAGGCGAAAAAGTACTTTCAGCCCTAACGGTAACTGGGATGTAACACATTATGACGGTTCCTACGATGGTCTGGCGAAGCAATGCATTTTACGTATATGCATTATATTGTTCCGATTGTCCCAATATTTTCAATTACGATTCCGTAATGAGTTGTGTGAGATCGCCGGAGGGAGGGGGGAGGAGGAGGAAGAAGAGAGTTTAGCCCCCCCCCCCCTTTGGGATTATTACCCTAATCCAGGGGTGTCAAACTCGATTTGGCCTAGGGCCGGATAGGTTGGGGGCCACACAGATTAGTCTCACCACATTTTTAGTGTGAAAGTTGAAATTCGTAGCAATGTTGAAGAGGACTTCGCGGGTCGCCAGTTTGACATCCCTGCCCCAATCCCAGACCAAACGGCGTCCCCATCCGTACTTTCCCCCCCTCCCCCCCCTCTTCCCCTCTTCCCCCCGAGCATCAGCCAAGTGGGGAAGTATTGGTCACCGGCGGAAAACGTTGAAAAACCTCACTGACGAAGCAAGGAGAGAAGGAACTCACGTGAAGTACAGCCGAGAAACTTGCTTTCTGTTTCATGAAGCGAGGAGAAAACGCAGGGACGAGCGTCTCACGAGAGCCTTCTCCAACCTTCCCGACTTTCTTATGCCTTTCCTTGGGTTTTTTGCGCCTTTGTTGACCCACTTTCAGCGATGTACGATTAACAGGCGGTAAACAGAACGAAGTCACGAGCCAAACTTTTCCAAGACACGTGCTACGTTACGCGTTTGCAATCACTCCTCCACTCGATGCAGTCACGAAAACAAGCCATTAACGACAACGTACTCGTTGCGAGGAAATTCCAGGTCGACTAGGCGAAGTGACGAGAGCTAGAGGATGCCCGGTCTAACGTTAAGACACAGGCAGCTCTACTTCTTATACCCTTCGAAATGTTAGGCCTAGGGCATTCGTTACAAGACAATTCGCATCGTACAATCTCCATTGCCGATTTCACATACTGTACTCTTCCGAACTTCGCAGCAGACGCATGATGGAGTGAAGTTGCACGGGGCGGGCTGTGATTGGTCCGTTGTTTTCTGTCTTTGGGCGGAAATACTCTCGTACCTGCCTGTTTTCTCCAACCGTTGGTTCTCTTCCTCCCTCGTATCACGTGATCAGTGACGTCAGGTCGCGACTTCTCATTGGCGCGTACAGATTCCAGGGACAACGTGCATGAAGGATGCCTCCACAGTCGAGGTCTCGATTCCCGAGTGTTCGTTCGTGTCTGCTTGTGCCTTCTTCATCTCGGGAGGACTTTTTTACACTCCAAAAACGATATTTCTAAATTTAATTGATCAGTGATTGATGACAGTGTTCACATCAGAGTGGATCCAGTCTGTTGAGGATTGAATTGCGAATTGTGTCACACGGAATCACGAAAATTATCACGACTAATGACAATGTTATATCGATCAGGAATGAACGGAGAGTGACAGCTAAAGCGACCTAGATGAACCAACTGAAGCTGTGCAGGAGTCTCGTCAGGGGCATGAATCAGCTTGCGCTGTTGCTGATCGAAGGGCCACGCTTTATCAGTATTTTTTTTTTCATTTTTAAATAGAAAAAATAAATAAAAGGAAAAGAAAGTGAACTCATCTATGATCTATGAATTCTATGAACTCATCGCCAAAAAAAAGCCCAACCAAGAGGGTTAAGCGAACTTGATGAAATTTGGTGCATAAGCTCGTACTAGCATACCATGAAATCGATTAAAGTTTTGAGGTCGTCAGATGGGGCAATGGTGAGAAAACTTGCCAAATACCCGAGGAATTAGGATGAAGGCACCAGTTCTATTTTCTCTTTCCCTCAAGCCGATAATGGGCCGTTTTTGAGAGTTTAACTGCAAGGCAGTGCCAGGATGACATGGAGGGTAATGGAATGCAATGTATCAGCTTCATACATCAAGTTGATGCATGGTAAGAATCCCAATTGCCCTCCATGGATGAAGCACCTTAACAACTTGTTGAAATTGCTCCTAAGATCTCATTTTGGCACTGCTTACATGCAGACTTTCAACAGCCCTGTTGTGAATTGGCTACCAGCACGACATGAATGACAGACAGCACGGATTGAGGTAATACCAATTATTAAGTAAAATAGAGACATTTTCCATGTGGGAGCAAATCATTTGTGGGATTTGACCAAGTTGAAATGACTGGGAGTTGCCTTGAGGGGACTCAACTGAGAACTGACCTTCAAAACCAAGGGTATACAGTAAAATAATTCATTTATTGCTTAATTTCTGCACTCACAACTTTCCACAAACCCATCTGCACCAAATTACCACTTTTCCACAAATGCGACATTTGGGAATCACTACCCGAGGAACCACATTTCACGTCCGTTGACTGGAACTTGCTTCATCCATATTGCGTTCCAGGAAGTCAGAGTCCAAAAATACTTTCCCCAAAGATCCCTCACGGAAAGACCTCACCACGTAATGTGCTGCCTGCTCCAAATGAGGCAATTTCTCGTATCTCCCTGTTGCAAGAAAATTGATAGCAATGTCACACCTCTTCTAATTCACTCTGAAAACTTTGTATGGAAACACACAATACATACCAGTTGTCATTCCTATGGTCTGGTAAAAGTTCTTGTTAGCAGCCACAGACTTCAGCACCTTCTGGATATCATCACATGGTTCTTCCAGATTCAAGTATGACACATACCTACATAGAGACAAACAGCATTGATGGTATCATTTACCCTTGCATGTCAAAAGGTTCCATTTGGAGACACTGATTTCAAGAATAATCCTCATTCTGTATAGAAAATTTTCTTGGGATGTGCTCTAGGTGCTCCAAGTTGTAGCTGCAACTGACACTAGGGGAAACTTAGATGTTTTTGAAAACTTGAAGAGAGAACTTTCCAAAATTCTTTTCAAATAATTTCTTCCAGACTTACTAGGTTTGATTACAGGCAAAGGATGTCAAGTAATGTCAAGAAACACAATAGAAAAGGAACATGATGACTTGCTAGCAGAATTATAGAAGTTGCATGACTTCATATAATGAAAAAAAAAACCATTGTATTCCTTAAAATTTTAAATATGAAACTCAAGAATGACTTTCAATAAATGTTTTTTATTTCATAAAAAAAAAATATTTTATATGCTTAAAAGTCATGTTCATGCTTTAGAACCTATTTCAGTCCACAAAACTAAAATAAATATTTGCTTAAAACATAGAGTGAGGGAGGGTTTAGGCATGCCAAAAGGAAAGAAAAAATAAGTGTGAAAATTCTGTGATGGAGGCCTCATGTTACCTGGTGTTGCCTTGTTTGTTCAGGAGGAAAAGGAGGTAATCTGCCACAACAACTGGATCAGTTCGATGATCACTCAAGGTGGCTGCATAAAAAAAATGTATGAACATTGGCCAATGATATCAGGGCATCTCATTTGCAGAAGGCAATTATATTATACTGAGTGCAGAAAATTGAATAAGACAGTACTGTTGCCATTATGAAGAGTATGAAAAACATCCATTTTGTAGAAATTCATGGTGCACAAAGTAGGGCAAAGGATAAGACTATCTGAAGTGTATTCATGCATCTAGCATTAATAACTTGACTTCTGTATTTCAGCCAAATCCTTACCCAAATGCCAATAACAATATGGTCTCAATGAAAGCTGGCCAAACTTCTTTGCTAATATAGACAGCTTACAGTTATGATGGGCACTTGCAAAATATATCAATCTCTTTCTTTTGAAAAAGTTAGGTGCAATTCCATTCCAAAAGTTCCATTTCAAATCAATTTTTCTTGATCTCAAGCATAAAGTAGCCTTGCATGTTAACAGATGCTTACCACAGAGTGCAAGGCGGAGGCCAGTCTCAACAGTGGCTATTTGAGGAGACATGATGCCAGGAGTGTCAAGGAGGTATATGGGAGGATTTTCCTGGATTTTCAGTCGGGACACTCCTCGGGTCACTCCAGCAAGTTTTCCCACTCTGGCTCCTCCATCTGGGATAACATCAATGAGAATCATTTCCTTGTTCACGAAAGATATCCTGGTATGAGCAACCCTCAATATTAAATGTATACTCCATACAAGCACCTGACCTCGATGAGAGTGGAAACGGCGAAGAGCATTGATGATGGTGGACTTCCCAACATTCGGAATGCCTATCACCATGATAGAATAATCTATTGAGAAGGTTCTGTTGTATCTTTCAGATCCTTCTATCAGCTCTTTCACTGTTGGCAGGATCTGACCAAGAAAGTAAGCCATGACAGCCATTGAAAAAATGCTACCTCTTTTTTGACAGAACCACAAAGATGGACATTGATGGGCTCAAACCTTGCTCATGCTGTCTTTAGTTCCTTGGCTTCTGTTTGTTGTGAAGAGAACACGAGATCCTTGAGATTGGAGCCTCTCCTCAATTTTGGGTCGCACATGCTTTGGAATGAGGTCAACTTTGTTGAGTACAAGTAAATGTGGCTTCACTGCAGTGACCCTCCTGGAAAATTCTGGGTTTCTTCCTGAGAATGGGATCTTGAGTTTCGAATGCATCAAGGATATTACAAACAATGCTGCCTGTCCAAACTATGAAATATTCCAAAACAGAAGTTGTTTATGGTGTGATGCAGAAAATATTAAAGTTCAGATTCTACAAATGCAAGTGTAGTCAGGTACAAGAGAAATGTGAACACGCAAAGATATGTCCCCGATGCTCTTTGAGTCAGGGAACTATACTATCTACTTTAACCTTTCAAGGCATTCCCCATCCATTTTTTTTAAACTTCCACCTTTGAATAACAATGGAAGCAAAAATGAAAAAAAAAGTTCTTTAAAAATTGCAATTGGTAATGCCTCAATCCACGTCAGGCAATAATTACTTTTCCAAGATAACATGAGCACATTACATTATTGGTTAACGAAGGTAGCTTAGCATTGTTGGCCATGAATATTAAACTCAACCTCAGAGTAACTTCCACTTCTGCCCTTTGAGAAAATGCCCATAATTACATGCATAACACACTTTAAAAAATTTTAAAGTTTAGTGTAAATAACCCTTTTTGAGTTTGCTGCTTTTCTTGCCTTTCACATGCTACAAGCAATATTTTAGTACTATATAGTGATCGAAAGCTTTCAAGATACACTGCACATCAATTTAAGTGGATATTTAAAATTTTTTTGCTTAAAATTAACTTCCATGCATTTTATTTGCGCAATGAATGACAGGAAATTCCTTTCAACATATTATTTACATTTCTACAGAATTGCAAATTAAGAACATTTATTCTGTTTTGACACATTTATTCAACAGGTAACAGCAGAAAATACCCAAATATCCAAAATTCAAAATATCCACTTCAATTGATGAGCAATGTACACCAAATTTTTTTTCCCCCAAAACACTCTAGGAGCTCAAATAAAATTTACACCTCAAAGGGACAATTTACACCTCATCCTGTACTTCCCATGTTTGCTCCAATTCTTGAGAATCTCAAACAACACAATGACTAGACCAATTTACAACACTCCCTAAAAGAAACTTGAAAGTGGAAGTACACATGCTTTTGACACAGTTGCTCATTCCTGGAGACAAATATTCCTCTATTCAACTGTAAAAAAGCTACAAAAATGAGGAATGAATCAAATTTTCATGTGGTGTTGTGGATTTTTCTTTTTTATTACTCAATTTCAGAACCTTCAGTTTCACTGAAGCAAAAGTGAAAACAAAGGGAAAAAACATTGGTGCCATCCCTTATCATGAATTCAAAAGCCTCAACATAGATGAAACACCAATGCACCCTTCTTCAAACTTTTGAAAAATCAACTTCCTAACTGGACCACCTCAGCATATCTTTTCTGTCTCTCAGGTATTGCAGTCCGATGTCACTCCAATGTTGTGTGCCTTGAACATGCCAAGTAATTTTCATTTTTCCAATAGAGTAGAATTTTCTGCCCAGAAAGCATTGCCAATGATGTCTTGATGTACTACTTTGAGATTCCATGATTCACTACCACCAGAGCATTGCGGGTAGATGACAGAACCCTTTCGAAAGAGTTCTGGCTCATTGTTATAGTTGATGGCAAATTCTGAGAAAAGAATCTCATGCTTGTCAGATGACACAGTGCCACGAAGACGCTCTTGTGCCTCACGAGGAACCAAACCTCCTTTCAAAACCAAGGCCCAAAAGACAGTGTTGTAGAGGTTGTTGATGTGGCAGTCAGCTTGCCGCCAGCTCATGTAGTCTCGAAGGTTTTCCAGGCTTGGATACAGCACCACTCTTCCATCAAATGAGGGTGGATACTTCATTTTAGTGTGAGGGAAATGAGATTTCCAGTGAAACACATATGCAGATGAGAACAAGCTAAGGACATTGGTCAGCAGTTTGAACTTCCGTCGCTTGTAGATGGAGGTGGACTTCTTGAAGACAAAACTATATTCATCACTCTGTCCATAGCCCATGAGGATTTCAGGCTTGAAGTCCTTGATGACAGTACAAGCAGCTGCATTCATCAGCATGAGAGCTCGTTCATCATTGGGTTTTTGGAATGCATGCTCATCAGAGAAGCGATGAAAATTCTTGCCATCAATACGAATGATGATGTAGCAGTTGGGCAGACAACAATCATCTTCTTCAAAGTTCCGCACATACTCAAATTTACTTTTAGCCATGGCTGTGGAATGTATGCGATGCTTAATAATGTACCAGATTGAACTACGCATCAATCTGCAAAAAGGATACCCTTGCATCGTGAACTTCAATGATGCAGTCCACTGACTTCAGATGCTTCTGCATTTGAATGAGCCCTGTGAGAATGAGAGAATCAACAACTTGTAGTTTCCTTAAAACAACAACATAAAAACATTCTCAAAACAGGATATAAGATACTCATTTAAGTTCATGCAAAGATCACTAAAATATACAGTTTTGAAATAACAGTGATCTGTAGCAGAGTTTGCCTTTAAAATTTGTCATTTCATCCTCCCCATTTTCTGCTATTTGCATTATATTTGTATAGCTGATACTTTGTGGGAGTCAATCTTCACCATCTACATCTAAAAAAGAAAAAAATTATCTTTGTGTTCCCACTGAAAGTTGCATTGAGGTTATGTCCAATATCTCCTTTACTCACATATGCTATATTAAAATGTAGGTGAAATACATACCAATGGAATGAAGTCAGTAAATCAAATTCATCTCTATGAACATAATGTATGAAGTTTCCATCTTTTGCAATGTTGCAAAAGGATGTGTAGAATACTCTTTACCAGAAAAAAAGGGGCAAAAGAGGCCTCTCTGATCTACCCTGTTTAAGGCTACCCAATCATTGTCTTCCAAAGGACAGACTATCAGTCTACAATACCTACATTGCAAATGCATTTATTTATACTATTACATGTTTCTAAGGCCAACCGGTGCTTCTGAGATGAAATCAACTTTTCATACAATTCCAGGGGATAACTAGTTCTTCACTGTTTTTGGAATGAAGTCATATATGACTTCCATGGGGGTGGATATATCCACCCCCATGGAAGTGCTTTCATCTATTGCAGCCAGTGACATCTTTCCATCTTCCACATAGTTGGTTTCATGGATCATCGGATAAAGTGGATCCCCTGGAGACTGTACTTTCTGTTGTCCCCTAACTAATAGGGTAATGGATGAATTCAATCCAAAAACAGTTTCAATACAATCTAACAACAACTCAATAGTGTAAACCTTGTTTAACCTTACATGAGTAGGATCCAAGAATCAAGACACGAGTTCAACGATAGTACTTTCAAGGTCACAATTGAGCAATGGACAAAATCCAAATGTTAATTTCTAGAGACAAGGCTACAGAAAACAAATTGAAAACTCCATAATACGTTGCAAAGATTTGTCAGTAGGACTATTCAATAGTGTTGCAAATGAGCTAAAAACACTAAAATACTGATATGTTATATTAAATATTTTTACACAGCCTTTGCTTCATTTTCATTGAATTTCACATAAAAAGAGGCCAGCTGATGGGGGTATCTAAATGGCCTACAGTCCCGAGCAAGAGGATTCTATAATACACTTTTTTTTCCAAGAAACTAAAGGTTAGGAGGTGTCAGGATTGCAGCTGAGATTCCATTTCTCAGAATCTTAACCCTTTCATTGCCATGTTTTTAAAGAAGTGACCACTCCCCCCAGCCAGATTTTTTTCTCCAAAAGACATGGTGAGCACAAATCTGAAAACAAGTATTCTCTGGTTTGGCAATGCAGACGGCATACTTGGTCCACAAGTCTACTCGTGCACAGTGGTGAAAGGGTTAAGATCAATTCTCATGGGATTGGGGTAAATAAGAGTGACTAATAGGAACAGGCTCAAGGCCATAAAATGCAACTAAATGCGAGGCAGCTACGGGAAACTTGCAAAAAAGGTGACATTAGACACCTTTATTGCTCATTGATGACCTTTCTAACTCTGAGCATTCCTTCATTTTGGATGTTGATGGTTTGATGCCAATGCATTCTATCAAATGAAACATTGAGAGCCATCAATATAATGTTCCTATTCATATCTTTGCCAAAAGTTTGAAATAAGCACACCTCTCATGGGTGAAAACTCACCTTTGTGCATGTGGCCAGGGAACCACTGGGCCACCTCAAGCTGCGCAAAATTGAATACTTCACGAAACATGGCCATGATCAGGAATGGCCCAGTGAAGTCATCATCTGATACAAGGAGAAGGGTATATGCATTTCAAGGTGAGAATTCTTATTCAACTTCTGCAGGCATCCTTTCAGTCGGATATATCCACGACACTATTGCAGACAATTTACTTTTCCATCAGCTCTATACAACACTTATGGCCATTAATCGGCTTGTCACCGATGGATGTGAATGTGAGGTCGTCTACTTATTGGCTCTCCCGTGTTGTGGACGGCGATATCACGTCCAAAGTGGTTACTGATTGAGCTATACGTCCTGGATCGTATTAATTTCTCGAAAACCACTTGTTAGATAGCAGCATAATGGAGCTACCTGATGTATAAATTGTAAGTAAAAAAATGTCATCATGTCACTTCGACAAACATGGACAACTGGTCATTGAGTATAAGTTATTGAGTACAAATTTGTTACATATATCGGGTAAGGCAAAAAAAAAAAACTTGGCGCCTCTGAAACAGCTAGCACAACAAATTTCCTTCATACATTCGTCAAGGCAACCTTTGAGCATCCGAAAAATTTGACCATTTAACTCTGGCCGTTTTCGCGCATGAATGATTTTACAAAAACAACTGCAATTTTATTTGTCGCTCGCACCTGGACGCTGACGGGAGGGCCAGCCCTAATGACTAGGAATTAAATTTATTTATAAAGGGTTTTTTTTCTCTGTACTTCAGAATCTGCTGAGCAGATCGCTGACTCGTCCTCACGTCTGGCAATTTCCCAGAAGAGAATTTTTCATCCCACGATCATCATCTTGAAAAAAAAAAAATTTTTTTTTTTGCCACATTAGCGCTCTTCAGTCCCGGCTAGTCTCCCTCTCAGACGAACCAGTCTCTCGCATACGCCGATATCTCCTTGCCGGGGCAAATCTTTGCCCCACCCCATCCATCAACATTTTCACGCGCAGACGGCGGAGCTCTGGCCCTCAGATTGGCGCGCTCGAGCACTCTCTCCCGTCGATACGTTTCCTCGCGCGCGCAAAAAATATCGAGTTGCCTTCGCGGTTTCGCTCATGTTCTAAAATGGATTAAGGAAAATGAATAAGAAATTTAGTACGTGTAAAGGATACGTAGAAGTCGTTGTAAAAAAAAAAAACTTTGCCGTGCTACCTCACGAACTCCAAAATAAAATCTCAAGAGCGGCGCTTTTTTAACATTATCTCACCTGGTATAAAAGAATTGCAGAATCAGCTAGGGTAAAACCAATGTTCGGAGAGTTACGCCTTAATGGTTCAACCCAAATACTCTACTTTTTGCGTCCAACAGCACAATATGAGCAGGTACGAGTGCGATAAAGATGACATTGGAAACCTTATAGCTTCCAATAATTCTTATTACGTGAGCGTCCGAACTTAAACGCGAAAAAAAAAGCAGTTCGAACACACCAGAAGTAAGGCGGAAACCTGCTCACAGAATTAACAATACCAAGTAGCGTTTCACGAGTAAGGTCGTCTCCGCACGTTTCTTTCAATATGCCCTGTCGTGAGATTCATTTCGGTTCGATGTTTCGAAATCGTGCTCAGATCGTGGCTCTTTCGCTTATTAACATGGTCATCTTGGGTTAAGAACTCTTGATGACGACCTCGCGAATCCGTCATAAATAATAAACGTTAGAGTGTCTGAACTTGGGTGGTTTTCCCTTACATCCATTTGAGAACAAATCTAAAATTCCAGAATTTAAAAATTTGTATTTTCAAACCATGGAAAGCATCGAAAACTCGAGAAATAATTAAACTTAAGTATGTTGACTAGAAATGCATAGTTGGAAAACAGTTCACCAATAAAACATATCAGCTGGAGTTTCTGTCATAAATGTCTTCCATTTAAGCATGGACATTAAGTGCTGGACTTCCTCTTAATTACTATGGGGAATGATGCCATCATCAGAGTGAGATCGAAGAGCCACCCAAAAAGCCATAGGATCACTCTAGGACATCCACAGTGTTGTATGGGACAGCAGTTAGCCGTCTTTGAATACACGAGGGTAAGGAATGCCTTGTGGACTATTTACCTTAGAATAATTTACTATAAAACATATTGATCAAAAAGACTTCCCACTAATGGAAACTTGAGCATAAAAAGCTATTTGTATCCCTGCATTTAGATGGCATGCATACTTTTACAAATATTCCATCAATGAGTGTACATGGCAGAAAAATAAAACCCCCCAAAAATGGGTTAATTTAAGTGTCCATCTTGAAAAATAACTCAATTTTGAGTCATGTTCTATTGGATGATGCCAAGGCCTGATGGGACATTTATGGATGGCACCCATCGATGGCCCAGTATTAATAAATAAAAAAGGGACAGGCAAAAATAAATTCTATTTACTGTTAATGTATCACCAGATGACTGCAGAAATCTTTATCAATGTGACGCAGAACACTGCAGATGGTGGACCTGAATGCTTGCCTTCTTGCAGATGTGACCTACAGAGAAGCTGGCCAACCAGGATAACAAATGTGGTGATCCTCTCAATTATCTGGCAAGATCATTGCTGCCTTGGTACCATCCAGGGAACCAGGAGGATAGACTAAGCTTGCTTGGGAGCCTTAGCTGTGCATGTATTACTTTTAAATACTGCTATGACGATTAAGCATGCAAGCAGAACCAGTGGCTAAGTTTGTGCCAAAAGCACAAAACAGCAACAAGAAACCCCTGTACTGAAGGGGATATGATCAGGAACATGCAGACCTGAATTCCATGAGCTGCAGATCCAACCATAGCAGTCCAGGTAAGGGTCAAATGAAGAGGATACCATTTAAAACCTTGAACCTGATAACCATCACAAGTGGGGCTAAAGCTCAGAGCACATTAGAATTGTCAAGTCAGAAAGTGTTGAGAAAGTGTGTAATAGCACCATCATCATGGTTCTCATGGTAAACCAATTGAATTCATTGGCAAAACTGTCCATGATAAAAAAATAAATATAGGCAGTAAATGAGGGAAGAAGTCACTTTACTCTATCATCCAGGAAAAAAAAGTTTCACGGCACCAAACCTAATAGACACAGTGATCACTTTTGTTTCCCATGCCTCATGGAGTTGAGGCAGGGTTTTCAATCTACCATCCTCCTCCAGCAGGTGGAAAGACCTGCACACTTCACAGCATAAGGATTCAGTGTAACCATCAACAAAAAATGAAAAAATGGAAAAAAAATGGAGGGAAAAGATTTTTGAGAAAAGAAAAAAACTACAAACACATGTATGGAGATGGGTGGACACTTGTTTGCTCCCTGGCATCCAAATGGGTAGGTATGAAGAATCAGTCGACATCCCCCGGCTGCCATGTTGCTGCGTCGCCTTCTTTCTTCTCCTTTTCCGCATCTTCATTCACTGCCTTTGAATTTACCTCCTCTGTTCCTGTTTCTTTAGTCTCAGGCTCCTGAACCTCTGCACACCCCAAACCAAATGACAATAGATCAGCAACATGACAAAGTTTACACAATGGAGGCATGGTTATATTGAAATCTTCCAGATAAAAATAACCAATTCAAAGTACCTCAAACATAAGATTGAATCAGACATGTTGCAGATATGGCAACATCCTGGAATAAATGGATTTGCTAGCAAAAGTGGGAAAGCAGAATCTCCATATTCAAAATTGAAAATTATGGATTCTGTGTTTTCTGGGCCTTCATACTTTTGGTGACACAATTGTAATTTTTATCCAGGGCTAGATCTTCCATGTTTAGAATGTAATTCAGTTGCATTCAGAGTGAGCAGTAAAAAAACTAGTCCAGAATTCCCAGCTTGGATATGCTAATTTCCACATGAGTGAGAGTGTCATAATGCAAATGCTGAACTTAAATAAATGATTCAATGAGATAAATTATGCAATTTTAGATAAAACTGAGTCTCAAACTGCTTTAAAAATTTTTTGAAGCTGAAGGAAATGAAAGCATCAAAAACCAGGGAGAAAAAAACTCAGACTCACTCAAAGCTTCTCCCCTGCTAGGTTCATCAAAGTTCTCCACCAGATCCGGTACTTCATCATCATCCTCTTCATCTCCTTCTGTGTCACCAGCACCACCTAAAGTATGCAGAAGGGATGACAATCACACTCCTTGTTCATGCCTACAACTAACCAGAATGACTGCAGGATATTAATCTTCCTTTTCTTTTTCCAATTCACTAGTTTGGATATGATCAGTGGAATCTACACGGTGAGAGGAAACCACCAAACATCGTCAAAGAGCTATTAACTTTGGATAAACAGGAACAATACATGGTAAAGTGCAAGATGGACTTACCTCTGCCTGTGCCAGAGACATTGCTGGCCAACTTTTTCAAATGTGTCAGGCTCTCGGCACCAAGTTGACTCAAGATTCCAGGCAACATTTCTGTGATTTCTGTAAAAGAAAATACAAGTTTTACTTGTTGACCTGACATTGTAAAGCAGGATCCCATGCAGGATAAAATATTTGACCAACAGACAAGTCAAGGATCTAGAGGGAATTAAAAAAATACAAGCTCTTAGAGACAGAGAAAACAGCCCTCTCGAATCATTTACAACTTCTTGGACAGGGGCAAACCAAGGCAGGTGGGGGGTGATCAGGGGGTCTGAACCCTCCCAAAACCCCTGCTCATAATGGTATCCCTCTACTTCTCCATCCCCCCCCTCCCTCTCCCCCAGGGGTGGGGGACGCAGAAAGACATCATGAGCCAGAAAGATATCATGAGCAAGCGACTTGAGAACGAGGCTGGAAAGGCACAAAGACAGGAGGGGAAAGGTGAAGGTCACACCAGTTACATGTAGCAACTCACTTTAATAAAATGAAATTGTCAAGGAAATGTCCTGCACGTGACGCTATAGTTTTTTTCTGAAAACAGGACGACAATTCAAATAAAAGGCATGAATCGTACAGGTTAACGAATTTCCAGTTGCACATCTGCACAGTGATATTTGGGCTGAACCCCGAAATTAATTCAGTTCATTTTAAGCTTTTTCAGATATCGAATGTACTTTCACTATTTAGCGTCCAAACTCCATTTCCTTCATTACAAAACGTTTTTCTGTTTCCTTTTCTTTGTTCGCGTCGTTTCGCGTTTTTGCTGAGTATATCTCTCCTGATGATTTGATAACACCTTCTTGCATTCAGAAACATTTGAAAGACTAGTCATGTGAACTTCGAGCCCACCCCCCCCCCCCAAACTTTAGGGCTGGTTCTTGGACAAAATAAGTAACTTCAATCCACATTATATGAAAATAGAAATCTTCACTTAAATAGCAAAAATGACTTGAGATAATAGTAAACAAGGTAAAGTGAATAAGGTCATACTACCATTAAAGATAAGATTTAAAGATAATGACTTGCAACATCATACTTGGGCCAACCGATCACAAATCGCCAGCTCCTAGTAGTTCCGTGGGTTTTTTTGTGCTAAATTTGAACTTTTCAACTGTCGAAAGTTCAACTTTCCCCCCAAAAAGTTCGGAAAGGTCCAGTTCATCATGGCATTTTACATTCCTTTGTCTAAGCCGCATCAACGTCAACCACTGAAAGCTTCTTTCTCAGACACAGTTCAGAGTTCCTCTACTGGAACGGCATTCGTTAAAGCGGAAAAACAAATGTCATGTCATGTCGCCCCGGCAGAAACCTCATTTTAATACTCTGTTCATATTGACCCACCCTTCAACTATAGCTTCCGCTAGTAAGGACTCATTCTTCAGTCGCTCGGACCATTCGTACTCGCTTAATCCAATCCTTCACGGATATGATAGGATAAGATATGAAAGGCGTGCGTGCGCCATACAGAATAGAGACATTTCCGTCCTCACTTTCCAAGCCCTCCTGCAGAAACAAAAAATGTTTCCGGTCTCTTCCCTTCCCTTCCAGAACAGGAAAAGAAAGGCAAAGCAGTCTTAAGTCTACTCCAGTATCTCCCTCTTTCCAGCGAGGAAGGGAGAGGGGGATCAGGCACCAGGATTGGCGTAATGCCTTTGCTCCTTGATTTATGACTGCCACTCTAATTCTGCAACTTTCAGGCATTACCGGGCCTACGCCGAGGATATGCTGTCATTGCAGGATGCGTTGCAAGCCCGTTCTGCGCGAGGAAGAAGCCAACAAACTAGGGGTGCCCTAACTAACGATCACTGGGGCTGCAAAAATCGACCATTTGTGCCATAAAACAGGCCAAAACCGATACGGGGAAGAGTGTGCGATGGATAGGTTCCATTATTAAAATTTAATTGTTCTTCCCCCCCCCCCCCATTAATCGCAGACGATATTGGACATCCTTGCAATAAACCATCCTGAATAAACTCGACATGAGCAGTGGAATGAAATGCCTCGAGTATAAAAATGGAAAAAAAAATTAAGGCATACATCAGAGTTTCTTATGGAAAAAAAAAAAACGGAGGCTCGAGTCACTCGGTCAGGCTTCTTCCCCCTAAATATAGAGCTCTTCATCCAGACAAAAATCGTCCTTCACCGAGACCGAGATTTCATTGTATTCTTTTCTTTCACCAAGTCTGGATGACTCGCACCTGTCCGCCCGCTCTTTTTCTCCTCATACAGCATTAATATTACGACGCTTAAGTTACACTTTCATCTAGGCCTCGTCATCTCTCGATACAAGGGTGCGCAATAGCATTTGTAGGTTTCCAATTCGGCGAGGTGACGATGAACAGTAGGCCGAATGCAAATGTCGCCAAAAATAGAAACTAGGAAGAGTACATCGCTGCTTTCCAATGTCAAACGCTCAAATTCGACGATAATAAAGCAGTGTCAAGTTTCAACGCGTCGAATAATGGCATCCATAAGGAAGAGAGGAACCGACTGTTGCAGATACAACTGAGCCTATCCAGACTTTCTCAAACCCACCCAACATCTGGATTTCAATCTTCGACACAATGAAACTTCCGGCCTAGCAACTGCTTTTATAACATCGTGCCGCGCAGGGCAACAACACGATATTCCTCCCCGTTTCTTTCAATATCCGGCACCGTGAAAGCACGGGGCCAGACTGACCACTCCCGTCGAGCTACCCACTGGTACCGCTCCGCCCCCCCCACCCCCTCCTCCTTCGGAAGGAAATGACATCTCGCTTCTAGTCTGTGATTTGTCACATGTCGTGATAAACCTATTGACAAGGGCGAGGTGCTGCCTACGCGAACTGAAGCCTTCAACACATTGCAGTTTCAGTCAGTGACGGATCCACTCCCATGTCGGGCAATCTTAACAGACACCTTAATGGATTTTACATGTGGGTTCCCTGTCTGACAACTCTTCAGTGTAGGAATTATCGCTGGATACATCAGACATCACCACTTGGTCGAGACTCTTGAGACTCTTACGGGATAGGTTTTTTTTCTCGAACTGGTCCTTAATAACGAAAACTGCTCAGAATTTTGTCAGACATTGGTGACTGACACGACCTCGGCTGAAATTATATGTGGCAAGTTGCCAAGTGAACCACCCACGAGTTGAAGCTGACACCTTTTGTTGCAAAAAAAAAAAACTACAGTGGAGGGCATCCAACAATGCTGCAAGATTCTAATCCCATAAGAAACCTGAAGCATTCAAGCTATTCATAGAAAAGTAAAAGTATCCTACCTTAGCCTCATGAACGAACCTCGTCAAAACAAGTACTATTCCCAGACATCTGGAGGTCATTAAATGTGCCTTGCATGCAAATTATCCCATCATGAGGGAGAATCACAGCCCCAAGAGAAGTATAAGCTCTGAGTTGATTGATAGTCTCTAGTAAATAATCGAGCAAAACTTGAAGATTGAGAATGATGAAACTCACGCTTATTTTCAGCATGTCCAGTAACTGCAAATGTGTTGGCAGTCAATGAAGCCTGGACTTTTGGGTTATTGAAATGAACAACAGACCCATCATCTTTGATCATGTTTACCTGCAAGAAATGAAACACAAAATCTCATTCCAGATCTAAGGAATAGCATCCATGCATCCAATTCCCATGAAAAAATGTTTTCCTATGCTTAAACTCATGCAAAAGAGTAAAACACTACCAACCTATTCTAGCATGGCATGACATCTGAAAAAAGACAGCATACAGAAACATTCATGGATGTGAGACCAGTTTTGACTTCCACAATCTTTTTCAGTCCAATTGTGAAGGACAGCTTGACCATGCTTGCAAACATGCTTTACATTAATAAATGGAATTTCATCCTATGAGGTAAAGAGTCCACAAATGTCATGGATTAAACACAATGCATGAGAAGTAATTTAATTTTGGGTAAAATTTAACCTGTCATCTATTGTTGTCTTTTGAAGTAGAATGATGCCTAGAGGTAGTAGCAGCATCTTGTGCCATTCATTTTAAATAGTAATGCTTATTTATATGAAGGGCTCATGAGCAAAGTGTTAAACAAGTATATGAAGTTTCAAACCCCATGCTTTCTCTCTCAAATAATTATGGAATGTAAATACATGTCAAATGAAATTGCAACAAAGAAAATGAGCAATACTGATGAAACTCTGTAAAAGTGTGTCTTACAATAATGCAATCTTGTTATTCTTCAAGAAGCATCTAAGAAACAACCACATGATAAACAGGAAATAGTGAATTGAAACATCAACGAAAGTCTCTCAGTTTCTTTGACAAATAATAATCACTATTTAAAAAGGAGTTGTATGTAATTAGGGGTTCCTGCAACATTCAATGAATTAACCACTTTAGCATGTCTTTTGAGGGCAATTAGAGGAATCCTGCCCCCTCTACATTAGTGCTTTGCAAGTTGCCCTGTGATGACTCTTCCTGTGCCATTGTAATTATAATCCATTTCAACAGATTGCTTAGTTTGTACAAAAAAATCATTGGGTCAAAATCATTCAACTCCTTTAGGTGGTCCTTTTATCATGAGTAAAATCAAGATAAGGTATCTACAAACTTTGAGTACACTTTAAGTATCCATACTTGCTCTAGCCCAAAAGAAGTCAAGAAAACACAACATGCATTCTGACTTCATGCGAGAATACAAACAAACAGGTATTGGCATTTTCAAGTTTTACTACTACGTGGTCATCCTACATGGAAAGATGTCTCCATTATGCATCATATACAAACAGTTCCAATAATCATTATGCATGCTATTTTTGAATGAGATGTTCTATAAAGCATATCATCCTTGAGCCAAATATGAAAGAAAAATCATAAGTAGCATTCTTTTTCAACCCATCTCCCTTGAAGGAGAAACCATACCAAATTGGAAACTGAGAAGAATTATTGAGCCAACTCTCCCAGATATGAATTTATTTTTCCTTGCCATGTCAGAAGCCAGTTGAAAGTGCTTGATATAGCCAATGGATGTATTGGACATGGATATAAGTATTCTCACCTCTTCAATACCAGGTATGGTATTCACAGAGAGTTTCTTGAGGACACTTTGGAGCTTCTTGTCATCTGTGGTTGCAGTTCGATGTACCACTTTCTTCTTCCTTCGAGCTGTGCCTTTCCCACCAATGCGAACCTGTTCTTGAAGTTTACTTAATTTATCTGGATTCATGATGGTCATCTGTAGTGACCCCACTGATTAGAATACCATGAACTACACACCCTGAGCACTGAATATTTAATATCTGAAAAAGGAGATAAATAAAAATGAGAACAAAAAAAACTGACAAGGAAACTTCTGAAAACATATTCATTAAACCTAATAGGCTCTTAAAGTTCTCCAATATCATGGTGCTGAGGTTATATTATAGCTTACAAGCATTCCAGTAAAGAGTAATAAATTATATAATTGGTCTTAAAGCATATTGGTATAGGGTTCATAGAAAAAAAACAGCACATGATGCCACAATTGTTAAGGATGTGGTGACAAATGTTGCTACAGAAGAAAAAGATCTTACCCCAGAGTAGAGTCCCAATTAGTATCCATAAGCAGCTCTTCAACAATACTACTCTTGAGTAACTACAATGTAAGGAAAGGTTTCATATTACCTGACTAGTCTCTTTCATTCTTTGCCAAGCATTCCATGGTTTCTAATTGGGATCCACCTTGCAATATTACAGGAAGAACCAATCTGACCTGAATCATTTTCCATCCATGAGACTTGTGAAAATCTGATGGGGACATGAACAAATTCTGACAAAGTGATAGCCAGAGGTCTACAGGGCTGCAAAGTATTAACAAAGCATAGTTCAGGTTAATTGAAAACAATACGTTTATCACCTTGGAGTACAAGACATTTCATCTTAACACATTGAGGACAGATCAGAGATTTCCGTGTTTTCATAAGTCCAGGCATCAATGTGTTAATTGACCTGGTTACTTGTACCATCACAGAAATGAATAGCATTGGGGTGGGGGGGGGACATGGATAGGAGACCCATTTTTATTACGCACTTGAAGCATCAGACAATAGACTTTTCACTTATGAGAGGTCTTGTTTGCATCCAGTAACATCTTATGCAGCATTCTACTTTCAAATCCCTCCTGCTTGTTCCAGGATATTTATCGAGTAGGCAGCTCAATGACAAACAACTTTTATTTCAGTGCCAGATGGTGTTGGCTTGATCCCAGCTCCATCCTTACATTTCTATCATTCCCTCCAAATGAGTAACAGACTCAGTGGAACAAACATTGGCTGTCACGGTGATACTCATGACGGCAAAGGAGCTTACTTCCAATGTTCCTATGACAGTTTTGTTACCTGCAGGATGCAATCCCATGCATGGGTTGATCTGTTTGCACAATGGACCTTCGCAAAAATAGGCCTAGAGTATTATGTATCATTGACTACCACGTTTGCACTTACGTTGGGCCTAGAATTGGACTTAAGGTTCCCTTATGCCTCACCTCGACCAATGACTCACAGCAATGCCATTCGCTTGGGTAACTGGCGGTCACGCGCGACGAGTTAACTCCCCCCATTCAAGTGGCTATCAACTGAACAAACGATAGGCCTAGCCCTGTTCAACCTTCGACACGGACATATACTCTTGCTACAGTTTAGCCTCTCATAACTTAGACCAAGCTTGAGCTGAACAGAGGCCTAGAGGCAAACCCACAGCATGCCCACACGAGGAGAAGGTCCATCATTCTTCGCCGGAAGTTAGGCTGTAGATCGCCACCAAACGGACAAAGGTGGAACCGTTGCAATGTTGTTACAAATTTACACCTATCATGTGTTTCAGTTAGGGCTAACAATGCTTTGCTTCTTCCTGAATGTTGAGTGCTTGCTGACGAAAAAATTATTTGCTTTTTAGAGTGAGTTTAATTTCGGAAAAATGTCAAAAATGATATCTTTATCGCTTTCATAATACCATCACATTCTTTAGTTTCACGACATCCCTGCAATACAGCTGTCAGCCTATCCGACGGAGGCCGCGTGCGGCAGACTTCTTCGCGCAATAGGTCTATCGTACTCAGCCGAATGACTGCCGAGATTGTTGGATCAGGGTGTTCATTAGCCTACAGTGGAAACATGTTGCCTTTGTACTGTTTCGGTTTCGCTTTTTGCTTCCTTTGAATTGAGTTCGAGAGTTTAATTTTAATTTTTAGCTTGCTTCATATTATGGCAAAAGCTACTTTAAAAATAGTTCCCTTTCTATAGGGTATTTAATTATTAGAATGTGTCTTAGTGCAATCCAATCTTGTAATAGAACAAGCTGGTCAAAGCCCTGTCTAATGCCGAGTGCCCTCCGAGTGCATTGTCAGCGATTGTATGGTGATATACTTGACTTGAAATTATATACTTCACTCAGGTCCCACCAATTGAGGTGGACAGTGTGCTAACCGCAGTGAAACTGGATAAAACAATTAAGAATGAAGTAAAGCAGCCAAGGATATGCTTTATTTCATTGGTTCATATCTGTAATATGCTAGTACCAATTGGTAAGTTTCCAAGAGATCCTACAGGCTGCCAAGGTTCCCACAATATATACAATGTTTTCACTCACCCATTTAATGCAAACCAGTGTTTTTATGGGCTTACTAGCAGCAGCTAAGGTTTCCTTCTGTCTTACATCTGACAAGCTGCTATTCAGCAGATGCACCTGAACTTGAAACGCCAGTAATATCAGTGCCTTTATGGGGTTGTGGGAACTCATCACAAAAGCTATGTAAAAGTGGTTTAGTTCTTTGAAGTATCAGCATCCAAGGTCATTCTTGCTTGTAGTCATGAAATTGTGAAAGAGAGAGTGCTACCTTTGGGAATAGAATAAGTTTTATAAATAAAGCAAGGTTTTACTATCAAAATTACCATTGATTAAAAAGAGAAAAGCACAAAAATGTTAATATGAATTTAATTAAGGAACTCTGGTGTGAAATTTAATTAATGTATAAATTATCCTTTTTTTTTTTGATAGACTAATTGTCAACATAATAGTAGCATCATTCAGATATTTCCTAGTCTATCTCTTGGCACAAATTTCTCAATAGTTTATTTATCAAGAAAAGGAATTTGGGGTAAAAATTTATCGCCAATGTGGACTGTAGAATTGTAGTATTAGGATACCCTGCTATTAGTTATATAAAGTATTTTACTAGCCTGGACATCTTAGGACAAACTTTGAAATTCTTATGGAACCATGAAACTCACCACCTTTACTACAATTTCCTCATACTCCCGGGTTATGATCTTGTAATTTGTCATTGACTCCCAAACAAAATATGTGGTGGTTTGCTGACCTTGTTTGTTTTTGAAGGGAATATATATGGTCAGATTGATTAGAGTAATATTGGTATATCATTCAGTCTAGGCCTCTGTCTATGGAAAGAAAATGAAGTTTTTTTATTTGGCATTGTTTGATTTGATTAATGTTAGCTAATTTTGAATCAGAAGAAATTGTTGGCCTAACAAAGTGCTTTATAGCTTGCTTGATTCAGTTCTGTTGCATTTTCAGGTGAGAAGTTGATGTTTTGATCTGTTGCCCCAGTTCTATGTTGCAATCGTGCTGAAATGCCAGGACAGAGTGGTAGTGATACAGCAGTAGATACTGCTGTGCCAGTGGCAAATGGAGCTGCTGGAGAAAAGGGCTGTTGCTCAAGTGAACATGATAAAATGGACAAGAAGAAAGAAGATACTACAAATGACAAATCAGAGACTTCAGGAGCAGGAAGTGTGAATGGCAAGGTGGTGGATAAGTCTCCTTCAAAAAAGGAAATGTAAGTAACATACCTGAAATTTTTCAATTTTGATGATGCGAATGGATTTTCACAATTTGTGAGGCCTACGGAGATGATCACCAATTATATAGAGATAAATCTTAGCCTGGATCAGCCTCTGTCAGCCTAAGCCTATAGTCTTTTTAGACTGGATATTGAAATACCATAACAAGCTCCATGCTGTCATAGGGACACAGGAGTGTATAGTAGCTTTCTGTTATAGTTTGTTGCATGTAACATCTTTGGGTGGGATGTGTATTTCGATATTTACTTGTAGGGATCGAGCAACAGAGGCAATGAATCAACTGCTGCAAGGAAAAAGGCATTTGCTGGTTCAGGACATCCCATCAGCAGTGAATTCCCTCCAAGAGGCATGCAAACTTTATGTGGAGCAATTTGGAGAGACAGCCAATGAGTGTGGGGAAGCTTATTTTCACTATGGAAGGGCCCTTCTGGAGATGTCCCGAATAGAATCAGGAGTTCTTGGGAATGCTCTTGATGGTGGTAAGTATTGATACTTCTGAGTTATTTACATTAAAGCTGTGTCATGCTTTATTTTAATTTGCATGTGATTGTCCTACCTGCACTTTTCATCCTTTTACGAGTCTTCTGCTACTTAGCTGTTTAGGTGTTGATTTTTCCCACAGAGGCAAAGGTATAAAATTTGCTTTTGTTACACAAAGCGAACTAAACATATTTCATTATATGGAAGGTATAGTAATATATTTATAAATTAATTTTGGCTATTTCTTGTTCAATGACAATTCATCTGAGACTCATATGCACCCCTATGCTTTTTCTATGATAAAAATTAACATTCAGAGAATATGTAATATAATTGTTTCTCCATTGCTTACTTTTGGTAATGACCTGTAAGGGATATTTTGCCTCGTTGGCATCAATTTTTGATAGCTACACTTATGAGAGCAGGAATGGTGACATGATGATAGTGATGTTAGAGCAGAACAAGGAGATTTGAGATGGTATACTTTATATCATTGGGAGGAATGACTAAAGAAGTGTGTACAATATATGCCATCCATATATTATTCCTGTAATCATGGCTTAAGAAATATTCAGACAATGCTCATATTGAAAAAATCCTATGTAATATCCTGTACTGTTCCATTGCCTGTTTACATCGGAAAATCCAAGGCCAACCTTCTAACCTGGACCTGGACATTGACAGTTAGGACTATGCTTTCATAGTTCCTGATGTATGTTTCATCCCTGAGTTCTTTTTATTATTATTATGCCATGCTCCTGCACGGTAATTTAGTATGCTTATGCTGTTGTATGGCTACAATTGTTTGGGCATGTTCATTGAAATGCTTATGCTTCCTTGCATGCTTCAGTTCCAGGCAGCCTGGACAGCGGATCAGATTTAGATGATTCTCAAATATCTAATGGAGAGGGGCTAACAGGTATGACACATGTAGTGAAACAGCTCTGTTTTGATTACTCAAAGTAACTTATTTGATATTCATTGTGTCTACTATCTCTTGAGCAGAAAAGGAAAGACAAGAGATAGCTGAGAAAGTAGATGAAGCATTGAAAGAAAACTTGTGCGTCTTGGAGGGAGAGGCAGTGACTAATGGGAAGAACGCTGTAGGGGAAGGGAACCTAGGGGAAGGTGCTGAGGCTGATCCTGGACCTACACAGCACTCTGAAGGTGCTGGTTTGCATCCTCAAAGAATGCTTCTCTGTCCTTGCTTCTTTGATGCTCTCCTGTTCTTGTGTGCTTATTTCAAGCTCATTTTGCATGCAGATGTGGTGCATTTCACTTCTTGAATCCCTTTGCTGCCAGCTGAAGCTTCCATGTTTTGTGCTCTTCATTGCACTTTCATATTCTCTTGGTCCTTTGACATCTTTTTTGAGGAATTTAAATTTTATAGGTGAGATGCAGTTTTCAATCTTCTCATTGATCTATTTTGTTTATCATCATATTTGAATGACTTCTGCTTTGAAACAAGGTGTAAATGGCTGTTCAGCTGGGAATGAGGTGTGGTGGGGATTAAGTCATCCTAAACAACTGACAATATTCACTAAGAATTAGCCTGCTTCCATTCCTCAAGTCTTTGAGCAATCAGATTGAGTCCCTCTGAACTCCTTCATCCTCTGCTCCAGTAAAGTTTTGAAAATGAAGAAATTGATACACCATTCCAACAAAAAGAAGTTGAGCAAGCCCATTTCAGTATTGGGCCTCCTTTCAGCTAAGGAAACCCTAATTTTGTCTCCTAATTGTACAAAATGCCATCTCTTTCTGGTCTTCGACTGTCAAAAAACTCATTTCTCATTTATATTTGGTAAGCATAGACAAACTGCCCATGAAGTAATGATAGGAGGATGGAGGGCTGTTCGTGGTTGGATCCATTCGTAACTAAGGTTGATAGGGAACTGACAGCTCTGGTTGCTGACATGGTGCCACACCCAAAGCCTGGGTCATATGCACATGTGCATTGTGGTCTAGAACCTGAAGGGCTCACAGGTACTCATGCCTTCCCCTCCTGGGCCAAAAATAAAATCCAAAATTTGCAATAAAAATGCCAATTTTTGTGCAAATTCGCCACAAAACGAATTCAGCCTGTATCTTGTTCATATCTACCTGCTTCCCAATTTTCACTCTGATCAGGCCATTATTTTTTAGCTATTGTCAGAGAGCCAAAGTGTGACACATGGATGGACAGGACAGGAACATAAGTGGTCTTTTTCCTTTCAGGAAAGGAGGCCCACTAACAAAGAAAAAAAAACGCACTGGGTGCTCTCCCCCAAGTTTCTTGTGTGGATATTGCCCTCTTTCTTTTCTTGGGTTCAATATGACATTTCTTAATATTTGAATATATATAATATATGAAATGACAGTTCTTGTAGGAATTTTGATAGGGCGATCAAGGAAAGATGGATGGGTTCATGGAATGTCCAGATTATATTTTTATTGTAATGGATGCAAAATGGAAATATTTTTTGCAGTCAATGCCTATCTCACCTTAAGGCCCTGCTCTTTCTTTTTCAAGCAACCATGTACACACAGCCTTGCAGAGTTGCAAAATCCTAAATTCAAGGAAATAATTTAGTATATAAAAAGTTCAAATATGCCCTATTTTCCTCAACATCAAGGAAAATGCAGTAATTTGCTGTAACCAACAGAAAATCTGGAGTTATCAAGGAAGTGTGAAAATTTGAATGTATGGTCACTCTAGAAGGTAGTGAAGGGTGCTGATGGTTCATTTGTGGAAATTGAGGTTTTGGTCTATCTTGGGAATTTTGTCTCATAATGAACAAGAAGACCTAGTAACTCAAAAAATGTGATTTCTCAGTTTTATTGAGACTTTTCACAATTTTGAAGTTTTGTTTATAAGTTTGTTCCTCTATTTTTTTAACATCATTGCTGATGAAATGAACATCTGGTCTAGTGTGTATTACCATGCCATTCTCTGAGAATCCATATTATTTAGGTTCAATTGCATTGTATTTACACCACATACAAACTTCAGAATTATGAGTTTTCTTTGTATTCAACTTATCAAATCTCTGCCCTACTGTTTCATTTTTACCAACACATATATGATTAACTCCAGGAAGTGCAGAAATTCTTTTGTTGGATTGTGTTGCTGTTGATATTGGACCAGAATATGAGGGTTATATTTATTTTCAGACCAAAGTGAGAAGTCTGAGGAAGAGTCAGATGAAGATGGTGAAGAGGGTGGTAGTGGTGAAGGGCCTGCCGAAGAGGGTGGTGATGAAGAGGAGGGTGAAAGCAGTGATGAGGCCAACCGGGAAGAGACCACTGGTGGGTTCCCTCAGAAAATTTTTCCTTATTCTAGCACAACCCCATTGGCATGGAAAATATATGATAGACATGGAAATAAATAAGGGGGAAAATGCTCATGTATAACTATTTGTAAAATGCCAATTATGTATGATATGGAAATTTATTCCATAAAAACCAAACCCTGGAAAGGTCAATGGAATTAATTAAATCCTTGTGGAATGCTGTGGAACTCTAACTTGGAGTTGGTGGAAAAGCCTCTGTTATATTTCTGGTTTCTCTGCTTTCAAGACTAGCCCTGGACATTATCCTACATATTGGTGCTTCTGCTCAAAATGGGTACAACTGGAAATAAGTACAGGCTCATCTAATGAGCAACCTATTTTCTGTCTATAGTTTTAATGGAGTGATGACGGTCTTAATGCATTTTCCCTTTTTTTTTAAATCTAATTTATAGAGGAAGATGATAAAGAGGAGGAAGTGACCTCACTGCAGTTGGCTTGGGAGACCTTAGAACTTGCAAAGGTCATATATGAGAGGTGAGCCTTGTTTTGATCAGTTTCTTATGTTCATTTGACATGTTTCCAGTATTTAATGGTAATGTTCTCGTCAATCTTTTAATAGTCTCTTGAACATGATTGCCCCCAGATCCTCATCCACTATCTTGCAAAGCTCATACTTTTCTGCTCATGACATTTGCAGTGAATGAGAAAGACTGCAAATGTAAAAGATGCATGTTGTGAAAAGCCATATACAAATTGGTTGTTCACTGCAATTCTCAGTACATCAACTTTGAAGGTATTGCATTTGAATAACTAGAAGTAATCTTTCTCATTCATCAAATATTTCATATGCAGAAAAATATGAGGTTTATATGCCTAAAAAAAAATAGTGGCACTCTTCCTTTCCAAGACACTGTAGGTCTAAGCACCATAATGGTGCTTAGGCTTAAGATAGTGCTCTTGGAGCCATGCCCAATGCACCAACTGTGGATGAGCTTGCCATTTGCCAGTATAAAATATATCATTTTCAAGGTTTCCCTACTTGATATAAATGAATAATGCTATAATGGCATTCTCATTCACTTTTGCTTGTCATGGATAACTAGATGTTCTTCAAATTTTGCACAAATTTGTTTTATCATGATGTATTAAGAGTGCTAAAATTTAAAAAACTCAAGTATATTTTTAAACTCAAGTCTGCCATCAATGCAAGAGGTGTGGCAGAATAAATGGCAGGGTCAGTATTCCATTAATATATCCATTTTTCATTGCTTAGACTTGAACTTTTTTTCAAAGATTCTCCATTCGATTCTCTACAAAGCAGTATATTAGGTTTTGTCTATGCTTGCAGCATTTCTTCTTCAGATCATGAAAAGGAAAGACCTCCCAAACCTTGTTCTTTCTTAACACAAAAATGGAGACAATCCAGCAAGTCCCCTATGTTACCTTTATAATATCGACTTCATTGTGACTATCACCCTGGGTACCTGTTTTTCTGTTGAAGTTCACTTCATTTCTCTTATCTCCTCCTCTCTTATCTCTGTTTTGACTTTCCACTCTCCCATTCTGTTGGGTGAGTGCATTTGTGTGGTTTTATTTCCTGTTATTTTTCCTATACCAATGGGAAGTCTTTGCTCCTTTTTCCCTGCTTTTATTTTTCACCTTGCCTTCCTGATTCCCTCCTTTCCCATCTAATACTGTCATGCATGCCTTACAATGAATTGGCATTATCTCTTCCATGCATATATATACCCACACACAAAATATAAGAGGTAGGGAAAGTATATGAGTGAAAAGACATGAATGCCCATTGATGTCTGATTCATCTAATGTCCAGGTGGATGAGATATCTATGGACATTCAGGACAAAATAGAAGGGTTCATCTTCCAAGTCATGTCACAATTACACTAATGCAATATAGACAGCCCGAGCATGCTAGCACCTGGACAGAGGTAGTTTTGTGGAGCAACTTTGGTGCTATATTGTAGTGGCAAAAGGAAGCCCTGAAATGTATCTTACCGGGATTACTTTTGGATATTTAAATCACATTTTCTTGCATGCTAAGTGGATCTATCTTTGACAGAGGAAACTGGATAGTTCTCTTTCCAATGAAGAGTTTAAGTGACATCAGGATTGCAAAGCTAATGGTGCATTATGAAACTTTCATCACTGCATGTTATATCTGCAAGTCTGAGAAGTACTTCATAAATTTGTTCACACTTGTCTTTCACCTTTTTTTTCATGAAAAGCATCAGTACACATTGTTCATAATTAAATATTTAATAATCTGACTGAGGCCAAATATTCTGTGCATCCAGCCTCTAACTGGAATTGCCAAGAGGTACTGATGGTCCTGGATTAGCATGACTCAGTTGGCTTATGGGAGACATTCCCTTTTCACTACAAATTGAAACTTGAAAAGTGTGTTTTCTTTTCTTGGCAAATTTAAAGTATTTGGTTGTTCATTTTCAGACAAGCTGATTCTAGTCATGAAATGAGGCTGAAACTGTCTCAAGCTTTGGAGTATCTCGGTGAAGTGGGTTTAGAAACGGGGAATTTCAACCAGAGCATAGATGATTTCAACAAGTGTTTGAGCATCCAAAGGGAACTCCTTGATGCACATGATAGAGCTATTGCTGAGACTTATTACCAACTTGGGAATGCACACCTCCTCAACGATCAATTTGAGCGAGCAGTTGAGCAGTTCCAGAATGCAATAAATGTCATTCAAGACCGAATCACCTTCCTCAAAAAGAAGATAGAGAACCGTGGGAAAGAAGGTAGGTGTGGGTGAATATTGGTGTCTGGTGAGTGAAATCTGTGACACCAGTGATGATATTGTATGTGATGTCTGGCCTAGGTGAAGAGACCCATGAGGAGAATCCAGATGCATTCTACACAGAAGAGGGTGAGATCAAGCAGCTGGAGGAGCTAATTCCAGATATCTTAGATAAGATTGGTGACACCAGGGCTTCCCAGGCTGAGAAGCGTCGTCGTCTGGCCCAAGATGAGCCCGGTGTTCCTGGTCCATCTACATCATCATCAGTATCTTCTTCAGTATCTTCTTCCTGCTCACCTTCCAAAGTAAGCAACTTCTACTCATTACATTCCTGTGTAGTATTTTGCAAAGAATGAAGTAAATATTGACAGTTCCATGTTGTGATGGAATTATATGATCTGTCAATCCTAGGCATGAAAGTTGTTTAATTGTGATAAACAAGCTATGAGAAAAGTTTGAGTTGCTTGTCACTGTCACAGGTCTAGCTAGATATCCAATCTCCCTTATCTAGGTTCAATGAGGTCTTCCTTGTGCTGCCTGTGAGGCATCCAAAAAATTAACTGCAAACCAGGGTTGGCATCATTTCATCAAGATTTAAGTAATTTCAAATGAAGTGATTAAAAAATCGTATGATTTAAATCAACTTTCCCATATTTGTATTTATGAATGCTCTTTTTCAATTGGTCTTGTATGGGATGGCTTTGTATCTCCTAATTCCCAACTTATGCATGTTTTAAGATTCAGATATTCTTGAAACATGAAAATTTAATCCTCACCTGCACTGGTTTGCCAAAAGTCAAGTCCCATCAGTGAATAAGGTCATCGCTTCTCTTATCAATATGGTCCCCCTTGGCAAAGATGTTTGGGGGAGAAACTACCATCCAATATCCCTTAAATACCACCTGAGCAAGTACAGGCATCATGTATCAGGACATTTTTTTTAGCCTCTGCTTTCAAGACTTGCTTTTCTACACAAGGTCATCATTCATGATTCCCTGTTAACCCTTTCGGGTCCATGCCTGAGTTATCTCATGTTAGCCTCATGATGAGGAATGGAAAAAACTTGAATGACAGTGCTGACTTATCCAAAATACTCGGACTGCATAAGGTTAATGGAACTACTACTGAACAAGGAAGAAAGAGAGAGTGGAGCTTAGGAACAAGTTTTACTAGTATCTTTAAATGTTGGTGCCACCTTCCTGCATGATCCCCCACCCTTCAAGTGGTCAGGGCTGGTGTCATTCATATTGGTTATTGGCAGTTGGTATTTCAATAGGATGGTATAAAAGTAACCTAGCATTCAAAAGGTCTTTTCTGGAATTTCAATTTCAGAATCTCACTGTTATAATAATTTCAGGTTATTTGCTCTAAAATCCATTATACAAATTCAGTTGATGCATTGATTATAGTTTAAGAAAGTAGTCAAAATGTTATAAACCTTGTAGGTTAAAAGAGACCGATAGAGAAATTTTTATTTTTTGGCCTCTTTGTTGTAGTGAGACAAAGATTTTGTCAGGCCTTGAAATTAAGTGATTTAAATGCTAATTTGTCATGTATACAACTGAGTCAAGAGAGTCAGAAGTTCTCTTTTTGTTTTTGCAGGTGAAGAGCTGTGAATCTCAAGGGGAGACTGAGAAGAAAGCCACTGATATATCCCATTTGGTTCGAAAGAAGGTGGGCAAAGAGGATCATTACCTGTCTTGAATGCAGCAGGAATCTATGAACAATGAATGTAATATGTCAGTTATGAATCCCATATCATTCTTGTTGTCATGAGATGGGGTAGCAAATTAATTATTGATTGCATTATTCATTGTAAGCCTGTTGCTTTATGTGCTTGAAATCTACAAAGAAGATTCCCATGATGGCTATAGTTATTTGCTGTGGGATATGTTCTCATCTCTTGGATCTTAAAAGTTAAAAAATAGTACAGACCATTAGTTATGATAAATAATTATCTCTTTGCCTTTGCAAGTCTTTCCAGCACATGATTGGTCATTTTTGTTTGGTTGAATAGAGGAAGCAAGAGGATGAAGGAAGCCCAGGATCGGCTCAGGAAAAAAAGGTGCACCGCTCAGAGGTCCCATCTCCTCTAGCTACTTCCCACTCCCCAGATGCATCCAAGGTCCTTCTTTTCATGCATTTTGTTTATATATATAGGAGTTTCATGCAAATGCATCAAGTTTAGGAATGGGTCATGGTCATACATGTTCTGTTGTGGGAAAATCTAAAACTAATATCACACACCTAGGTTTTTTTTTTATTTGTGGTACTATTCAAGCCAGATATTGCTATTTCCTCCTTTATTCCTTGTTAATGCCTACCACAATGTGGTATCAAGAATAGATATCAAGCAAGTTAGAGAGGGTTTTTGTGTTTCTTGGATGTAGTCATGACTTAGCCAGTCCAGAGCTACTTTAGTGTCATTCTTGTCTGTCATCTGAAGCATTGCATTTTTTCCTTCAGCTTTTTTCTTTGAGTTGGACATCCATGTAAAGAGTGATTAAAATAATATTTCGATCTAACCATTATTGTAATTCTTATTTATAATTAAAAGTGAAATTTAATGCAATTAGTTCATCTTGAACAGATCTGGTGTATATCAACTTTGATTTGAAGAATTGAAGAAAGAGGATGCCAACATGCTGATGTGATGTATTTTTGCATGTCTGTTGAAGGGAGGAGGATCTGATGCTGTAGCAGAATCTGAGGGTACAAATAAATCAGCTGAGACCGATGGAAAGACAGATGCAACTGCATAAATGAAGATGTCATAGGATCATTCCACTTCCTGGCTTCCCTCCTTTCTCTGCCATTGTCAGTTTTTTTTTTGTCTAAGGGCCTTTGCTCCACTTATCGATATTTGCTCTCAATTTTGTTTCTCATGTGCAACATTTTCTAGTAAAATTGCATTTTTCAGCATGAATTCTTTTCTTTTAAACAGTATTGCATTAACAATGTCATTCAGTCCTGCATTTCCAGGTAATGAGATATTAGAGGTACTCATGTTATATTAGAGTTCTCATGTCTGTTTATAGGACAGGTAATTGTTACAATGGAGGGTGACCATGGTTAGAAGACAGTATAAAATTTGATATCTGATAATATTTATGGTTGTGCTTATCCTAAGTTTTTGAAATCATAAGAAATACTTTTTATTCTTTGGAACATTAAATTGCAACTGATATTTTTAATGAATCCAGGTATCCTTATATCAAATTGCAGCCACAAGATATCTTGCTTGTGGTATTGATTATGCTCATGTAAATACATTTTCTTCATGTATTCCACTAATAATTTGAGCTGTGTGGGGCTGGAGTTTTCTTGGGGATGAGTACTCCAATGTGTGATGAGACCATAGCACCTTTTCAAGGTTGCTTGCCTATTTTGGGTACATTTAGGTGGTCTCCATGTCATATGCCATGAATGCATTTATACTAATGTGCAAAGGCTACCATTTTTCTTGAGTTTCTGTTCAAGCCTGCATTTCATAACAAAGGAAATATGCCCCATATAGAAAGTTAGTGAATTCACTGAACTGGCACTGGATTCCTTACGTTAATATTTTAATTCCAATTGGCACACCTAGGTATGGTAGAATTGGAAAAGAACTTTGATGAACTTTACTATTCCCAAACATTTGCCATATATTTTCATTATTATATGCATTGGCTCATGCACACACTTTGACCGTGCATTAGAGTAGAAAGAGTGACTATCATCTCGTGTCCTAGCAGACTGTGCTTTGCAGGCTGGGTAGCTCAACCACTGCCTTAGTGTGAAAGAACAGTCAGGGAGGAGAGAATTTCGATTCAGCGAAGTTGAACTTTGCAGTGACTTATACTGAGAAATTGATATATTAATTAGGGAAAATGAGATTTTCCCCCACCCTTTGTCATATACAATTAAGTCCTTTTGTTTTATGCATCTTTATTGAATATTTGGAATACAATTATCTTATTATACCTCTCAATTGAGATATCGTTGGATACTATAGTCAGCAAGTCTATTGCAGGATTCCCTTTTCCCAATGGTTTTCAGTTTTTTCTTCCTATGCCATCATATCACCCAACTTTTTGTGGCATTATGTTAGGTCCTGGAGAAAAGAAGAACCCATGTTTGTCTTCCTTTCCAGATCTGTTAAGATTCTTTTAAGCCAGCACACACATCTTCAACCAATTGTTTCTGTTTGGTCCAGGTGAGTGGCCTCTCATATCCTCTTTCAGCCATAAGACTGACTGTTCCTAAGTCAGAATCACACTGAAAAGCATTTTAATCTTTGCTTCTGTATATTTTCTTTTTCTTGTGAAAGCAATCCCAATTTTGCAATCTTTGGTTTGATTCTCCTTGATTAACTACCTCCCCTGTCCTATTCATAGCATGTGCCATTCTTATTTCCACTGCATTGTGCTAGAGGTTTTCCAGAGCAAAAGTGGAAGAGATGGTACCAGTTCATACTCATTTGCTTTTGTGAAAGGAATTTCCTGGAAGAAGATAAAGGAAGTTTTCTATTGGATAACTCCTTCAGGGATGTCAGAAAAAAATCGTTCAACTTTTACAACACTTTCCTATCTTATTTCTGGAGAGGCAACAATAAAGTACCTTTTTGACTCCATTTTGTGACTGCATCTGAGGACCATATTCATTTTTCCTCTTTCAGGAGGATGACGTCTATGCCAGGTGCTTTATTATCATGGGATTTTACCAAGGTCACACCTGAGGACATCAAAAGTCGTACGAAGACTTTGATTGAGGCTACAACAGCCTTGGTAGACTCTGTAGGACAACTGCGGGAAGATGAACTTTCCTTTGCAACTGTCATTCAGGTGAAAAATTTTATTTTTGCTGAGTGTTTTCATCCTTGGAAAGTATTTCACCAATTTCCCTGGATGTGCAGCCCCTTGCTGAAGCAGAGTGTATCCAGCAGACAGAAGGTTCATTCCTGGATTTCCCTCAGCATGCAGCAACTGATAAAAGCCTTCGAGATGCTTCAACTGAAGCTGAGAAGGAGTTGGAGGACTTTCGTGTGGAGATGAGGTTTGTCAGTATGAGTGTTTCAGGATTTTTGATGACTTATACTTTGGACTAAATAAAGTAAAAAAAATGCTATGACCATGATAAAAGTTGAGGTGAAAGGAAAATTTTGTAGAATTCTGTTTCCATTATTTTATTTATTCATTTTGTATCCATTTCTTATTTTTAAAGAATCTGAAGTTGTGGGTATGAAGTTAGTCCAGGAATGAGATTCTCACCCTGATAGGATTTCCCTTGACATCTTGTGCCAAATGTTAATGTTTTCATGGTCTCTTGAGGAGTGCCGTGTAAGTTTGTGTTTTTTATCCTCTGTTGGCTTGGGTTTTGTTGGTACTTGCCCCAATTAGAGTGGTATTAGTTATCTTGATTCTGTGGAGATACCAGAAACTGGGGACATTCTAAAAGAACATTGAAAAAACTCTCTGGATTGATATGCATTGATTCATCTGCTATTCTCTGGGAATAAGCTCATGAAAACCATCTGCAAGAGACTATCAGCCTCATGAATAAATGTAAACAGAAGGGGAGCTGAACATGGTTATAACCAAGGACAGCATTTGAGTGTTTCCTCCACTCCACTACCAGCTGGGGCTCTTGTCCTTTCTCAATGTCTAACTTCTTTTCAATAATTGCTCGTAGTATTGCTGCAGCTCAACAAATTCAGATGAAATTTAAAGCATCAGTTGGCAAAGTGAAAGTTCACAAAAATTGCTCCAGTGTGAATGGAGATATTTAGGTCAAAAGTTGTTTGCCTTTTTTTTCCCAATACCCTGTATACAGCTAAAGCAAGCAATGTTCAAGGTATGAGACCATTGCAATTCTAATAGAAGAGTGTCTCCTTGCCAGATTCAGGTACTAGAAAAAGAAAGGTGAAACAATTTCACAAGGTAAGGGGAATAGGCTTGTGGACCCTCTAAGCACCATTGATAATATGCAGTTCTATTTGGGAGAAGTATGAAGTTTGAATGAATTTGAAACATGATCTGGAACCAGTTGAGACAACTTGACAAATTCTAGATCATAAATATATTAATCCAATGAGCCATAACATCTGAATTGGTTTCAGCAGTTTTCCTTTTTCAGTTTGTTGTGTATGAAGTGAAATTTCAGTGTAAGGAAAGTGAACATGAAGTCATTGAATTTTTAAAAAGCACTCCTAATTTCACTCCAATATCTCTCCATAGCATGCGAAAGGATGTATTTGAGAAGCTTGTCCAGTTCCAGAAGGCTGGGGACACAAAGAATTTTAGCCCCGAGGGCAACCGCCTCTTGCAACGTCTTATCAAAATGGGAGAACGCAATGGTATGTTCTGCATTGATGGAATGTCTGAACCCTACAGTATATTGCAGAAGGTGCCACATAATGATTAGAGAGTCTTTAGCTTGCCAGAACAGTTGTGCTCTTCTGTTATCAGGGCAGTTGGTTCAAGAGCAAAGTTGTACTTATTTTTGGATTTAATGGATATATTTTGATCTGTCTTCCATAGGGCTACACTTACCTGATGAGGTCCAGGAGAAGATCAAGACAATTAAGAAGCGTATCAGTGAATTATGCATTGATTTCCAGAAGAATCTAAATGAAGACAATACATTCCTCCTCTTCTCAAGAGAAGAACTTCTTGGCATGCCAGATGACTTCCTCGATTCACTGGAAAAGGTCTTGTTCATGTTACTCCTTGCTTAGGATAAGAATCTTAAGTTTTACATACTAGTTATTCAATGTGAAGTACAATGATTGATGGTTTCATCTACTGGGTAGCCTTAAGAAAATGTACACAATTTTTTACTGCTTGCCAATCTCCAATAAATATAGGCATTTTTTATTATCTTCCTTAAATTTGTATTTAATCTAGGTCAACCAGATGCCCAAGAAGTAGTTAATTTCTGCCAAGCCAGTGATAAATTTGCTTTCCCAAGAGCCATTTTGGAGCTTACCCCCTCTTGGCAATGAATCATTCACATGCAGTGCTTTTTATGCCTGGCTAATCAGTGTTATCGCTTCTCCAAGTTACAATGATCATCCTTGAAAATGAAGATAAACTAATTTCCTTCTTCAGGGAAAAGGCCATGCAGCAAAGAGAATGATTCAAGAATCCCTAAACCTTGGGTAAAAGATGCCAGCCATTCAAATAAATAAATAAAAAGTGATTAAACAGTAAGTTTCCTCAGAAAAAATTCAAGTGGAAGCCCATGTTTCATGCACATGCAAGAAAATGTCAAACAAGTGATTTATGACCCTGATTTTCAGTCAAAAATGTCAGGCAAGTAACAGGCTCAGTCCAAGGAAACATTCCTGCCTTACTAGAATCTCCAATTTATTTGCCCTACTGGCATCTCATTGATTGATGTTACTTGTTTCTAGAATATTCTAGCTTAACATTTCCTTTCATGCAAGTATACTAAGCATACTTGCATATGTGAGCCTACCCTAAGACCCATACAATTGAGCCTTAATGTCCTTTTTTAAAGACATATTGAGGAAAGCTTTTTTTTCATGCCTTCCTAGGATGAAGACGGAAAGCTGAAAGTAACAATGAAGTATCCCCACTTTTTCCCTGTCACTCGCAAGTGCAAGTTACCAGAAACCCGAAGGAAAGTGGAAACTGCATATCAATCCAGGTGAGCACTGGTGCCAGCATGTGCAATGTTCCATCCAAGTCACTGTTCAGTCTAACCATTAGCAGGTTGACAAGAATTGTATAGCACACATTGCCCTGGAGATTTTGCATCTTGCATGAGTTCCCTTTTCAGTTTTATCCTCCTGAAATGAGAGTCCTCTGTGTAGCACATTGTGATGGCTTATTACAAGGTGCTTGAAGGTGAACACATTGAACCTAGAAGAGCTCATCAAGTTGAGGCAGCAACAGGCCGATATTCTTGGATATGCAAATCATGCTGCATATGTCCAAGAGATGAGGATGGCAAAGGATCCTAAGACAGTCGAGGAATTCCTCAATGAGCTGTCTGAAAAGCTTCAGCCACTCTGGCAGAAGGAGAAACAGGTCCTCCTGCACCTTAAGGAGCAAGAGGTTTGTTTGTGTCACTCTTCTTGAACACTTTCCAATAAGTAGAATGGGATGACTCCTATAGGCTGTCACAGGCCCCAGTGCATGGCATCATCAGGAAACTGTCTCAGTTTCTCCTCTTTACCTTTGCAGTGCAAAGAGAATGGATGGGAATATAATGGAACCCTGAACTTCTGGGATATGCGGTACTACACAAATATGGTAGAAGAAAAGGAATACTCAGTGGATCAGCAAGCCCTAAAGGAGTATTTCCCTCTGGAGAGGGTCACTGAGGGTCTCTTGGACATTTATCAACAGATGCTGAGTCTAGTATTCACTCCTGTCCCTGATGCTCCTAAATGGCACCCTGATGTTGAAGTGGTGAGGAATCCATTTTATTCTCTTCCAATGTTGTTTTATCCAGATGTGCAAGTCTAACAATTTGACATAATTTTATCTGGTATGCATACTCTACTCTTAATCTTCTACTATTGCCACATTGTCTGCTTGAGGACAAGTCTCTTACTTGTACAATTTTTGATAAGATGTAAAAGTTAAATTTCAACATGCTTCAATATTGAGCCCATTGTGCTCATTTTGTTTTGCCTTTTCCTTTCAAAGTATCGGGTGAATGATAAGGATACTGGAGAGCTCCTGGGATATTTTTACTTGGACCTCTTTCCCCGGGAAGGGAAATATGGGCATGCTGCTGTTTTTACTCTGCAACCTGGGTGTGTGGTCTCTTACAACTCAGATCAGAAAGAGGGAAAGAAGAGACAAGTTTGCATTGCAGCCATGATGGCGAATTTCACTAAGCCAACAGCATCCAAACCATCTCTCCTTGATCACAAAGAGGTTTGTTACTCCCATCATTCCTTGATCCACTTGGAAGTAGCAACATGTTTCTGATTGGCCATCTGTTCATGTCCAGGTGGAGACTTATTTCCATGAGTTTGGCCATGTGATGCATACTATCTGCGCCAAAGCTGAGTTTGCCCTGTTTGCTGGTTGTCACACAGAACAGGATTTTGTGGAAGCCCCTAGTCAAATGCTGGAAAACTGGGTGTGGGAAAATGAAGCCCTTGTTCGTATGTCTGGACACCATGTGGTTTGTTTCCCCCTCTTGCCTCCTTATTACCTTCTTTTTATAGTGAGCATACTTTTGAAGTGATCAACTTTCTTGAAACCAGAATTCTAGATTATGGAGAAAAGCAACTTAGTTTTCCTAATCCCTTTGAAGAGAAGCTTTTTGAAGGTGACAACAGAGGTCATTTTCAGCAGACTATGTCATCTAACTTGCTGAAACCTGGAGGATATGAAATGTAAATGCTTTATAAAGGTCTGTTTTCCATAAGTCTTTAAACTAGTGGATTTTCCCTCATGAAGTCTTGGTGTTAAATCTTTTTGCAAGAATCATTAAAGTTTGACTGGTGAATGTGTCCCAGGTGGAATTAATTCACTGGCAAGCTTGAGGGTTCCATCTTGTTACAAAAAAAAGGAAATTTATTGGAATTTCTGAAATTACATGAAAATAATGCCTTTGGTATGTTTCAGTCACATTTAATTGATTTGCATTAGGATAAATGTATACAGCCATGTCAGCAAAGAGGAATCTTTTCATACAGCCTATATTTAAAATGTCCTAAGTGTTTTATATCCTGACAAGGAGAAATGTGATCAATATTAAACACGATGATAGGAAGTCTTTGAAACTCACTATGTTCTCTTCTTCCATCAAAAATGAAATCCCAAGATTCCTTACTGCCCACAGCCAAATAGATTCTTGAGTCGAATCTCTAAAGTTGATGATTCTTTGCATGCAGATGTGGTTCAAATCTTCCTGTACATGTATGACAGAATAAACATGAGACTGGGAATGCTGAGAGAATCTGATTTGGCAGACCAATTTGATTTATTGGCTATTATTCACCATCAGTTGGAGCTCTGGGCAGTTCTGCAATCCTAATTAACTTGGAATGGATTGTGTTTTTGACTCTTGGTAATGTCTTTATTTGTTTAGTTTTATTATATTTATTTTTACAGAACAAGTCCAGCCTCCCAGAGGATATGATGGAACAGCTGGTAAAGTCTCGAAAGGCAAATGCAGGTGCATTCAACTTGCGTCAAATCGTCCTTGCAACATTTGACCAGTTATGTCACACAAGAGCTGAAGCTGACACCCAGAGCCTCTTCAGGGAAACATATCAAAATGTAATGGGAATTGCTACCATTCCTGACACCAACATGCCTGCCAACTTTGGACATCTTGCAGGAGGCTATGATGCCCAGTATTATGGATATCTGGTATGTCTTTCTACCCCTTTATTACAGTTTGCTTTCAGTGTAACTGAATCTGAAACTACCAAAAACTGATTGATTTGGGTAACTCTTTGTATTTATCTAAAACAGAAATTGGAAATAAGCTGCGAAACTAAGAGGAAAACAGATTTTTCCTGCAGTGACTCTAAAACTGAAGAAAGTAGTACTTCGGATATTGTAATTGGAGGTGAAGCCAAAATGATACTGAAGACCTCATCCCAACAGTGGAACCAACTCCTCATGAAATTATGCTAAGGGTTCATTTCTCAGGGACATGCTTAAAGGAACTACTCCCAATTACACAACATAAATAAAGCGAAAACTTAGTTGGAACATGATGAGTGGGTGAGATTAGTTTAACAGGTAGGTTAGGTAAACAATTAGATAAACAAAATGCCTTCAACTTACAAATTTGATTAAGTGTTTTCTTTTACTGTTTTTTCTCAGCATTAAAGAAAAGCATTGCTGGCTTGTCTACTTCAAAAATTTTCTTAGAGTAACCCTGTTTTCTGAAAAGCTGTTGCTACCAAACTGAATTGCATTTTCTATTCACCAACCACATTTTTTTCCAATGCTGACTTCAAAAGGAAAGGATTAGGCTCAAACACACTAGTCATTTTGGCAACGTAAAGGAGTTTTTATACTAAAGAGCTCTTTTCCCCCTCATAGGATTCCATGCATTCTTGAAGGACCATTAACCAAGGGGGGTTTTAGCATTTGGGCATAAAGACGTGGCCCCAAATTGTCTGCAAAATAAGCAAGAGAGATGGAGGAAAATTTACACAGGGACCAATTTCCAAACCATCTCATATGGTTGGCAATCTTGCACACCTTGTTGAATAACTGATACTTTGGAATTCCATCTGGAAGTGAGGGGATATTTTTTGGCTGAGGAGGGTAATTGGCTATTTCCCAGGGACACCAAGTAAGAAAGATAATGGAGAAGTTTATTGGCCAAAGGATTCCAGCTTCTCCCTAAACCAGGTACAGTCATCCCCCGACTTGCGTTGTTTGCCCCTAGACCCACTATATTAAGCCAAGCGCACAATTCGTAACTACGTTGTATTACATTGCCCTTATGTCATCTATGAATTGGTATCTCAACTGCAAGTAGTCGGCAACACTGTAATGTCTCAACTAATGTTGCTGGTCTTGGAACCAATTACGAAATAACTTCAGGGGATGATTGTATAACATAATACACCATTCTGAGAAAAAACTGAGTACTCTCCAAGCTTGGATATTGCCCTCTTTCCTTGTTCATGCTGCACACCTATCACAATGATTTCCTTATGGTTAGAAGGTTTCTGAATTCCCCTTGATTCAGAATATATTACAGGGTGTCCATGAAGTGACTACTTCTGGGTGACTTTTATATTATAGGCCCTGAAATTGTTTTTTTTTTTACTTTTGTAGACTGACCATCCTCAGAATAGTGTCTCATCTTTCCTCCTTCCACTTTGGCATGGCTTAGAATTAATTTCCCAGATCTGCTGTTTTACAATTTGAATGGAAAGGAAATTCAGACAATTTGAGGAAAATTGGGCTGTTCAACCTTATTGCAGTTACCATGGTATTGACTGATTAATAGAGCATATGCAACAAATTGGCTCAATGAGTTGATGTCTGGAAATCAGCAATTTTTGAGCCCTGGCAAGTGCATTGTCAGCAAAATCCGTTAGAATTCCAACACTTCTGTGGCACATGGCACAAGAGATATTCTCTTTCAAATTGTTCAGCTCTGTGGGCTTCTTCTAAGCATTGCCTTTTAAGTAGCCCCATAGAAAAAAAAATCACAAGAGGTCAAAATCCAGAGATTGTGGAGGCCATTTGTCCTGGCTGACAATATGGAATGCTACACTCCATGTGTCTGAATTGTAATTGAAACAAGGGTTTGGGAAAGGAATTCTCTGTCACACTAGAGCAGGGGTGGGCAAAGTACGGGCTGAATCTGGCCCACCACTATGTTTAGCAAAAGGGAAAATTTTAGTTCATTTAGTCATAGAAAGGACCAATGAAGGAGCTGAGCTTACTTGTTTCATTTGTCATAATTAGGCCCTCTTTTCTTTCTTTTCCTCCTCAAAAAGCCATATTTCAACTACAGTATTTTCTAAAATGGTGCTTTCTTGGGATTCAGGTTATTAATTATCAAGATGTCATGCTTCCCAGGATAGCCTGGTCCAAATGTCAAACCTGTCAATGCTGGAATTTGTGGCTAGAATCTAGCAGTTCCGATTGAGGAAGGTTTTTTAGAATTCGAGCCATTTGGATGCATTTTGCCATAGACAGTCCTATAGGCTACACAACAATGCTCTTTAACACTGTTGAAGAAAATCTCTAAGAAAAATTTCATGTAGTTCATCTACATGAAATTTTTTTTTATAGTGATATACTGGGCAGTCTTTTTGTGAGAATCTGGATGGTCAAAAAACGTAATATGGTAGAAGAAGCTGTCGTTCAGTTTTTATTGCAAAGAAGGGAATAGGACAGGCAAACAATGATTGTGCTATTGAGGTATTCTCTGAGATCCTGGAGTGCAGCCCTTGAAGCTCACCAAAACTCATGAATTGGCCCTCCAGCTAAAATAATTGCCCACCCCTGCAATAGAGCGTAGGAACAAAAGACGTGACACCATTCTGAATTCTAATAAACAGCTTACAAAAAAAAGAAGTTGGTTCCCCCAAACTCAGTTAGAAAAAAGATGGCAGGGACCAACTCATCTGTTACCTCTCCAACACCCTTTATTTTTTGGAATGGTGAACTTAAGTACTACTGCCTCTTTCTCAATTTAAAATCACCATCACCCAACACAGTTGTTGACTTTTAACTTGATAACTTGTTAGCATTTCCAAAACTGCCAAATAACCATCAGCCCTTTCCATCCTGCTATGTTTCATTTCACGCTCATGTCATTGTACCTTTCTTCTAATTTTTTCAGTGGAGTGAGGTGTTCAGCATGGATATGTTCGAGTCAAAATTCAAGTTGGAAGGGATCATGAATCCCAAAGTGGGAATGGAGTATCGCAAGCTTATCTTGGAACCCGGTGGAACCAGAGATGGATGGGACATGCTTAAAGACTTCCTTGGTCGAAAACCCACACCAGAGGCCTTCCTTCGTAGCAAGGGCTTGTGAATCTTGGCAGCTTCACTGGACTGAAAGCATGGCCTTGTATGCCATGAAGTACCTACCAATGCAGGAAAATCACGCAACAGAAAGAATAAATATGGCTAATCTCAATTTTCTCTGACATTTATCACAATTTTATTAACACTCAGTATTTGTCCCTGCATGGTTGCAAATTCCTTATATTTTCAGTTCAAAATGTTACTGATGACATCAGCCCCCAGCCTCATCAGTTGCCCTTGCCTCCATACAGGGTAATCATTCTGATGAGAGAGTAGTGTAGTTCAGGTAGGGATCCTTTTCTTTGCCATATGAACAATCTGCTTGACATGAGACTTGGCAATGGCATTCAGTTGCAAGCGAGTGCTTCCCTTCTTTATCACATCAGGTAGTGCATCAGCCAGCACAGCATAAAGTCTTCGGAAGCAAGTACGGAACAGGGGATCTTTAATCCCAATTTCTTGAGTGCCCAATGCATCCAGAATAGCACTCCGCACTTTCTGCAAAGAGGAGTACATTAATGCTTAATTATTGAATGAAAATGCATTGTTTGCTTCAAGTACCAAAATAATTAATTCCATGGAACTGCAAGTGGATTAAACTTTCTTTCAAGCAAACAGCTTTATCCACATTAAGAATATTACATGATTGTAGATACCAACTCAACTGATAAAAGGCAAGTAACTACTTACAAAAGTCACTTGTCTACCAAAGAGCTTATGAAACATTCAATTATAAATATCCAGGAGAACAATGACTTTTATGAGTGAAAACTATACCAACTGTTTTTCTCCCTACCTGCTTGTAGACTTCCTTCACATGAGATAGGCATTTTTCTCTCTTCTCGTTCTCCAATCTGTCTCTTGGCCTGCAAAATTCCATTTATTATACCATCTCATTGATTCAATGGCTGCTTGTATCAACTGGACTTGAGCATTATACCTGCTAGCATGTGAACGTGAAACAGAAGGGAGTTGGCGAGGACTCCTCCTCAGTGTTTCTGACTTCCTTGGATGCTTCATACCTCCTACATACCATTCAAGTAGACAAAGTCAAGCAATGTTGACATCATATGATACTTAATATGAAAATTTTTCCATACCTAGGAATGGAGATCAGACTGTTATGTTTAAAGTCCATTTTTGGTCAATTAATGAATGCAGAACTAAATCTGGGATTAAGTAACTCCAGATCAAACTCAAAGTTTTTTTTGTTTTTTTTATTTTTAAAAAGGAGAGATTTGAGGATTTATAGCAGAGCAAAACCAAGCCATGACTACACATTAGATTTATATGAATAATAATTCTTCATTCTTCTGTTGTATGTGATGCTGGTAAGACCCCTGGTGTATATATCCTGGTAGTATAGCTTTCAGTTTTGAAAGCCTACAAATAAAGATGTATTAACAGCACTTGAGAGGGTGCAGGGACATGTTATGAGAATGATCAAGGGGATAAGGGGATTTGGATATGAGAGGCATTTAGAAGCATTGGGATTGTACTGTCAAGAAAAGGATCATGAGGGGGAACTCATCCAGGCTACTAACACTTTCAATCTGATGGATGTACATGTACGTCCAGCCTAACTAGCATCAGACAACGGTGGATGCAAATTTTAATTTTGCAAATGGATGCAAATGTGACAATTTGAAAATTGTCACATTTTTACATAATTTTCCACAATAAAATAGAGACCTTATACTTCAACTGCCAAAAAAGAGCAAGTCTCTACCATTTTGTGTTCTGAAGTTATAAGCTTTTATTTGCAGACTATAAAAAAAATTTCTGTCATGCCCTTCAGAGTGAAAGTGCTAACCCCTTGTAGTCCAATGTCAGGGGAGTTTCAAAATTAGATTTAGCCTGGTGGGTCCCATGTCCACAAAGTCCAATCCTGTATCAATCCCGATGGACCAAAAAAATAAAGCTTAAAACTTTAATTTTCTTTCACTCCAAGCATTTAAAATCATTAAGGGATTTGATAATCCAGAACATGATGGCAGCAGCACAAGAGTAACTAGCATAAGTTACATAAACCTTCAGGTGAGGTACAGAATGAAACAGAATTTCTTGACTTGAACATATGGAATGTGTCATGTAATGATGTAGTGGTTGCTCCTACCATGATCAGACTAGAGGAGACATGATGCTGTCATGGACAAAATAAAAAAAGGAAGCAGCATAGCTGTAAGCAACTAGGCAAAAGGTGACTATACTCCCACAAAAATATCTATCTGTAAGTGGGGCAGACCTATCTTATGATGAATGAACACTTGACCTCGACACAGGATGTCATAATGGGCTTCACACTTCACACTTCGACTCCCCATCCAAATCTTAACCCTTTGCACTCTGTTTTCTCATTATGATAAAGTCAACCTCACCCAACAACTGAGTGCAAAGGGTTAAACCTTGAATGATTCAACCTCAAAAATCAAACCTGAAACCTGGATGCAAAAATAAAAAACAGACAGCAAAGGAAGTGTGAAAAGGGTAGCAGCTGATCCTTGACCCCTCCAATTTCTAAAACATCTATGGACATTGGTATAGTCTATCTGGTCCAACTTTGCAACGCTGGCATTGCCTGTTTTATGGTAGCTCCTTAATTTTGTGCTGTCATCAGCCTGTCAAAATGTCAGAAAGGGACTCAAGGCTATCAGTGGCAGACCTAGGTGTTCTTGGCACTCGTTAGGCATCTTATCAAGATTTCTAAAATCATTCATGCATGATTCTCCCCAGGAGCACCATGCCAGTGTCTGGCAGAGGGGTCAAAGGGAAATCACCCTCTCCCCTTGGGAGAGGAAGATTGATGGCATTTAACGACTCCTTCATTAAAAGTGTGGCAAGGTTGGACCTGATAGACTATACAAAAACACTAACCGTAATTGTTTTAGAACAGAGAAGTTAAAAAGAAAGAATTATGCCTCCACAGATGCTTTTGGTCCTTGATTACTTATACTGGGTGTTGAAAAAAATAAAGAATACTGCCATACACTGTAGAGTTTAACCCTGCAATACATTGCAGGGTTAAACTGCATCAATTCATGAGCAGAGATTTGTGAACTTCCCTGATATCCAACAATTTTGATAAACTCCATAGATCAGCATGGTAGCTAAATTACTAACTGGTTTACTCTTCTTTTGGTTTTGAAGGTAGTAAGCCTATAACTTTTTCACCCAATTGTGTAAAATGATCATTGGTTGATATAGTTAGCCACACTGCAAGTCTCTAAGAAGTGGAAAAATAAGGAATTTTTCTTGTACCAGCTTTGTGAGACAGAGTAACAGGTGCTTGGGGAGACTCTACGGACACAGATGAGACAGTTTCCCACTTGAATTTTGTCTTGAACAGTGCACGTTCCCTTGATTCCACCACCCCACCTACATTATACCTGCAAATACAAAAGCTAACAATGAGACAACACTGCATAGAGCTGCAGAGACTACTCTAGCACCACCACTCCTACACATTGTTCTACAGAGATGCCTCCAAACTAAGTGTAGAGAGAGTATACCAAAGGAAAAGTCACAGACTCACGAGATCCCAGGATGACTAAGGTGGTAAGCATCTGGCCAAACTGTGGCAGATGGAGAAGGTAATAGTGTAGCAATTCTGTCAATTTCTTGATTTTGCCTTGCCAAATTTCCAACTGCATCTTGAGGTGGTTTGATGGCTGATTTTAATCTGTCCACTAGCAATGAGACACTGCAAGTTGATGGAATGTCAGAAGTGGATGTTTCACATTTAGCAAAGTGCCCAGCTGAGTGCATCAAAGCTTCCTTTGTTGGACTTCTCTCTTGTAAACTCAGGAACTGCAGGCACGATTTCTGATACTCCAACTCATCTCTCTCCCTCCAGTCATCTGTTTGGAATGAAGGCATGTAATTTGTCCAGAAAATGAGAAAGTTTCAGCTTAGACTTAAAATGACTTAACCAAAAGAATCTAATGGAGAAGAAACCTGAGGCAAATATATTCAAAGATAGCTAATACTACACTTCATGACAAACATGAACAACAAACTCAGAAAGTTTCTTGACAAATCCTGGCAAAATGACACTGTGATATCAATTACTAAAATCCTGATACTTCACTAAATCTAAAAACAGATATAGGCATAGCTTTGGCTCACCAATGGGTAGTTAACATGAATTTAAGTAGAAAAATACTCCAAGATGTTTTTTATTGCATGCAATATGCTAAACTATGGTCTGTGATTCTATGGAAATACTATCAATAGAATCCAATCAAGAATGTCTTGATGAAGATTCATTGGCAAAGAAACCCTGTTTATACAGGTCTGGCCATCTGAGACTTTTAGTAATCTCATAGAAATCACAACCAGTCCAATAGTGCTGAGTATTCATGCAATAGGCAGAAGCAAAATATGATGGAAAATTCACAGGTGGCCAAACATGGTAACCATGTCTGGTGAACAAATCTTTAACAGTCTTCATTAAAAAGAAACTATTGGAATCAATACATGTAGGCTAACAGGCTAGGGAGTTTGTAATCTTGAAATTTTGTAATCATTTGTGAGTAATTCCAATCCAGATGTTTGCACTTTTGTAAAAAATTTTCTTAGCAGTAAGATGAAATGCAGTCCTTCCTTATTTCCTCTCAGAGGAACTGCTAATTAAATTTTACAATTTTCCCTGAAATTTATGGAAACATGCCACTTCACATGACTTATGCCCTTTATGTTAGCCTCCTTTCAAATTTCTAATTTTTTTCCTTTTCAGGGTTAAGAATGTAAGAACTACCTAAGTAATCTAAAAAGTCCACCTTGCTAGATTTAGAGTACAACTGTCAACCATGTAGGAGTTCATGCACAAACTCAACACTGAAAACCCTACTGGAAATGTGCTACCACTGTATGACTGTCCCCATTTCATCCAAAGGCCAAGTCCTCAATTCTCAGTCCAACTTTTCTTATCCATGATACCTTTCAAAATGTCAATTATTAAAGATTTCTACTAAAAAAAGCATAATTACCTGGTTGTCCGAGGCAAGAACCTCCTTGATCAATGAACTTTCCCAGCTTCACATCAGCATTCTGAAATATCAAATCAATTCTGCAGAAAGGTTTTAAGATTCTGAATTTCATCAATGTGTTTCAGCTTCTTTAACCCTCTCATGCATGAATTTTTCATGACTCGACACTATTTTCTTAATTTCTGCTCCCCTGAAGGCAAATAAGAATTTTGCCTGCCTAATTTTAATTTTTACCAGCTAGTATCAGCTCTTCTCCAAGAAGGCCTCCATGGATTTGTGGTTGGTTTCAGCTCCAACAACATAATGAAGAAATTGCACCTTATCTTTCCTCAAATGAGGATGGAACAATCAAATTCATGCATTCAATCTCCCTTGAGACAGAAAGGAAAAGTAGATTCAGGTTTGAAGGTCAAGACATTTAAAGTCTGACCAAATTCTGGCTAGTTTACTTAAAACCATGCCATAAATATTTGTGCAAACAGATTTGTTAGATATAAATAAATGGTAAGTATGCACAAAACCATACAGAACTGATGACTGGTAATTTTTGTTTCTTGCTGATTGTGAACCTTGAATCATAAAAACTCTCATTTATTAATCGCAAAGAAATGAAGCAGTCACACTGGACAAGGGTAATACTAGTATTTAAATTCATTCAGCTCACTATGCCTCCAGAGAGAGGAAAGTAACGCCTGCTTAGGTATCACATCCAAATGCCCATTATCAGAACCTCAGGCAGGAAAGATCCTACTTGGAACACTTGTGAGGACTGAAAATTTTTCAGACTTAGTAAAAAAAATTTATGTCAGCAGTTTTTAAATCCAGTCCAGAATATAGCATATGAAATGCACAGGATCATTGAAGAGGCAGTAATGCTATGAAACTATGAAATAAAATCATCTCAATCACTCACCGATGATGATGGAAGTAATTCTCTCTTGAGCCTCTCAAGGCCACAAGGACTCCTCAGCTCCAAAGCCAGCAGCTGCATGGGACATCAAAATGAGAAGTCAGGCATGAAGATGAGAACAATACATGATTCTGAGCAACCTAGATCATCTGTTGACAGAGGAGCCTGAGATGTGCTTTTCTTCATTTAAGAACAATCAAGCAGTGAAAAAAAAATACTTGGCCATAAATTAAGGACAGATACTCAACCATAAGCTTACCTTGTTTTCAGTGGAAAGACCATCACCAATTATGAGAAGCAAAAGAGCACTTTCCCTCAAGTTAAATCCTTCCTTTCTGGCCACCTTGGCTATATATCCCACCTGAGGGAGAAACCAAAGAATATAGATTGGTGTCTGAAGACAAATGCAGCCTGGACAAGGGAAGTTAAGGGGATTTTGATCCTTCAACCCATTTATAAGGAGAAAGGGGTAGTAAAGTAGCACAGGAGACTCACCTTCTAATGCAATGTGATCATATGTCCCTTCCACCACCACCTTTCAATGGGTACAAACTCTTCACAGAGCTAACAGAGTCCTGCTCTTACATTCTTCCCCCCAAAAATTCCAAAATATTGGTAGTGCTACCCAAAAAATTTCAATGAAAAAATCAGGATGCTCATGAAATATACCCAAAACCATACTACTTAGTCTGATGTTGAAAGTGAGGTATGTTGACTTCTGAGAAACATACCTCATCACTCTTGTTGAGGGAGGAGAAGACACTTCGCCCAAGTCCATCTATGGGCTCTTGTAGGTGAATTATGAATGAAATTCCAGTCATGTTGTACAAGGGGACAGTAACACACCTCACAGCTTGAATTACATCCATACTTTTCTCCAACTCCTACAAATTGGAAAATACTCACTCATGCATAACTACTTATCTTTTAAGTCAATCATGATAGCACAGAAGCATGGACCCCATCAGTCTCAACTAGTATATGAATGGATATATTTATTCCTCTTGGCATGAAAACCAGGATACAAACACCTGGCATCTGCTTGAAATCTATAAATGACAGCAGTTCAGGTAACTCAAAAACATTAATGCAAACATCATTTGAGAAAATTTATTTTCCAAACTAGGAACTTTCCAATGGCTCATTGGCAACAGAAAGGTGCTGTCTGAACAAACCCACTATACCTAGTCCTGGTCCCTAGTAATCTTGTTTCTCAAGCATATATGCTCACAATAGCACTCTTAGCTTGTGGCCAATTAACACACCACAAAACCTTCAACAGCTTTTCGCTCAATGGGCCAGAGTCAAAGAGCAGTAGCTATTAGCAATAGCACTTACAACCTACACCTTAACACTTGAATAGTTCATTGTTTAATTTTTCCCTCCATTTCTTAAACATGACTCATCCTGTCCTGCTTCAAAAATACTTTTCAACTTAAACTTGTGTTTATTCCATTCTTGATTTTTCATTTATTTAATGCTTCCTTATATTAGCTTTTGTCCTGGTTTTTATTCCTTGGAAAAGAAAACTTGAGTTTGTGATATATGCTGGCAATTCACATTCAGTTGAGCAATCCTCTTTATTACTACAATTTAAAAAATGCCTCCCATGTAGCATTCTGACAGGACTAGTTCAATACTGTCAGTGGGGGGGGGCATGAGTGTCAAAAGTATTTTTGCTCATATTGAGACCAAAATTGAAGGTCTAAAACTCACTCCATAAGGTTCATTCAAGAAAATATATGGACTTTTGCAATTCACCTCTCAAGAGAGGCATACTTCACTAAATGATGTGTTTCTGGGAGTTTTGCCAATCTGGTTGCTGCTAAGTTGCTTGGAACTTTATTACTCCTATTTTAGCCATGAAACCTTGCAACATATTCTTAAACATCTAATAAGAAGTCTAATGATGAGTTTCAGTTACCCAATAGGTCATTTCATGACTAGCAAGATTTATGAAACTCTGATGCCCTCCAAGCTTACAACTACTGAGATGAAAGTACACTCTAAAGTAGCATGCAAAACAAAATATTTGCACTACATAGCATGAAGGACCCTGCAAATCTTTCTTTCTTTTTACTTTTATTTTTTTAAGGAATAATGAAGGGCACCCAGTTGCATATAAAGACAATATCGATTATGGCTATATTATGGCTATTATGGCTATTTTCAATAAGAGAGGTGGCTCTGTTGAATATAAGATTTCAGGTGAGTCTGACAAAAAGAACCTGAATAAGCATACTTAAAGATTGTGTATTTTTCTTGATTTAGATTCATGGAATACTCCCTTTGAACAAATGATCATTGGCAACCTTCAATAAAAGAAAAGAAGATGAAAAACAAAGCAACCCCACCACATCACATAAAAACCACCAATTTCAGTGACTAAAGTAGCATTCTGTCATTCCCATTTTCAGTATTCATCCACCCAATGCATGCACCCCAATAGTTGAGTTCGTAAACTTGCATGGAATCCACTCTAAAAATGTAATATTCCACCCTTAATAAGGACTTCAAGTCAACTTTGCTAGCAAGTCACTAAGAGCAATGAGTAACCTTTCATTCCAAACCAAAACACAGTTTAAAAACAAATCAAACCACCAGTGATCATTGATCTTAGCACTCCCCTCTTCCTCTTCACTCTTAAATATCAAGGAATGCATGTCAGTAAAGAGTCCCATGTTGCAGATGCTTGCTTATTCTCAGATTTCATCAACTCACTGGATGGAGAATTGAATCTGATGTCTTTGTTCCCACTTGCGTAATCCTGATGCCTGCCAACTGCAACTGAGAAGCAGGTCTCTCGGGATCATGACACCTCATGTGCCCTTCCCACACACTCATGATTATCTAGGGCCAAATCATTAATATCAGATGTTCCAACCTAAAAACACAACCAGAACAAAAATCCTCAATGTTCATTCAAAGCAGTGAGTTCACATTCATGGGAATAGCTCATCTTCTACCACACAATGTCAATGTCATGTGTCTTATGGACACTGGCAGTAATGAGCACTGAGATACCTTTCAATGACAAAAAAAACAGCATTGGAGGCAAGAAGGCATTTGCCCTAACAGATCCTGAGCCCAAAGATAGTCTGCCTCTTTTTGGCTCCCATCTCATACATTCACTATGACCCTGTCTCATAATTATTTATTTTCTTTTTTTTTTGCTAGGACACAAATTCAATCAATCAGAGGAGGGCCATGAGTAGCTCCACCTTGATAAGGCTTGTGATTCTTGGCAATTTTCTCTTTCCCAACTGCAAATTGCAAAGAGCATACATGTGAGGTTAATAGGAGTGCTATAGCACTTTCACCTTCTCATGCATGAATTTCTCATAACTTGTGTTAACTTATAATTTATGCTGTTTTGTAAACGAATGCACTTTTAATTTTCCTGCTACGTGCTGGTATGTTCAAAGCACTAACTACTGCCCCCACATCAGGCCTTCATGCGTTAGTGGGCAGCTAATGAACTTAAAATGTGCATTACATCTGTTTTCAAGTATAGCCCACATGCACGAGGGTCCGAAGTCGGAAAACATAAAACAAGTAAAAATGCATTACCTATTCTATCCTATACTTAATGCTGGCATACGAAGTTATTTGGTTCTTGGCAACGTTGGCTTAGCATCTGATGCTCTAAAAGAACTTGGTCTATTACTAGGCTAAGCTTCCAGCCCACGACTATGCTGTAAAATACCGACAAGGGGCAAGAGAGTGGCTGATTGCTAACGAGCTTGGCTCCCGTGGGAGGGGACCTGGGTTAGAACCCAACCGAATTCGGTCTTTATTTCAAGCGCTTCGGAAGGAATATCCCTGAACACTCCATTCCCGTCTCATGATGTAGGGTGTTGAAGATCGCAGCCATTGATGGCTGAACCTGGGTTGCATATAGTCAAGAGTCAAGAGAGTTAGTGATATCAAGAGGCGATTTCGCCCATTTCGATATCACGTGTCGAGGTCGAGCATTCCTTAATTTTAGGGTAGGCCTAACCCTCTTAAAGCTAAATATTTTTATATTTTTGTTTGTTTTT